CCCAATATCAGACCCCTCCCCTTCCCAATAAAGGCTATGTGTTCCTTATCTTTTATTATGAAACTGCGCATTACTGAGTAATTTGCACGAGGATGAAACATATACCTAACAAAGACCGAACTTAGTCCTGGATCAGACAGACTCCTGTAATCATATGGGTGAGTTATTTTTTGGCTGTTTAGTTGTGAGTCTTAGTCTTATTTTAAATGATGAAATCTTCATTATTGAAAAATTATTTTAATAATGAAACATTTTTACTGTTTGCATTGCATCCTTTCATGGTGTGACTATGCATGTGTGCCTATTGCAATGTCACAATATAACAAGCACCCCCCCTCCCCCCCACCACCGCTGATGTAAATTCAGTCCCCCCCCACAATGCCAAATACCTCCCCCTGCCACTGCTGACCACCGATTTCAGGATTTCAGCTCATACCCATCTGGTAGCTGTACATGCAGGACAACTCCTGACCCCTGAGTCATGGGCTCTAGGTGTTCTCCTCTCATTCCGAGCATCTCTGCACCCCCTCGCTCACCTGAACAGCTGCCAGAAGGTGTGCACGATACACGGACACCACCGCACGATGCTTCTCCTCCCAGTCCTACACGCAGAGGGGAACACAGTTGTGACAGAGAACAGTGAAGCACGTAGAACCCACTACGGCACGTGATGTATATCCAAGGTCTACATCTCCCAAAGGCTCTTTCACCGGCTGGTGGTTCTGACACCCAGAACGCAATCTGAACTTACCTGGAGCTGCCGTTTCAAAGCGGCTACTCTGCTCTTTGGTGCCACCTGCTGGTCGGAGCAAGGTGACGCGGGAAGGACGAGTGTCAGAGGAAGACTCCCGTAGAGGATCTCCGGGGAAAGGTCTGGGAGCTGCAAAAGGAAGAGGGTCAGTGCATCATCCTTCCTCACCTTCACTCTCTTCCATTAAATATGCCACCAGGTATTTCCAGCACCATCTAAATTTGTTTGAATGTTACGGTTCGGTTCAATACTATTCATATTGCAGACATCTTTACAAAGAAAGAAAGAACACAATGAAGTTTTATCTATGCTCTTGTACACTATGTCTATTCACTTGAATGAATGAATGAATGAATGAATGAATATTACACTTATATATAAAGATCCCTAACCCCTAACTCACTGTCTGAGTTTTACAGGCTGATTCAAGGATAAACATCAGGAATGCCCCTATCCCCAATAGGGGTGCTCTCTCTCTCACCCCGCCGCCCTCCCTGGCTGCCCCCAGCTGGTCAGACTGGGTTCTCAGGTATGCCAGGTGCTGCCTTGAAATGGACAGCTGGGCCTCAGCTGCCTGCCGCGCAGCCTTGCTGAACAGAGCCTCCCTCTGCACCCTCAGCACCTGAGACGGGGATTTCAGGGCAGACAATATAATCCCGACACATAACACAACCTTCACATCACATGTACAGATAAAACAGGGGCCTGCTGACATCCCGTCATACACGCACTGACATAGATATGCCTGCATGCAGTCACATGCATGCATTCATGCATGCATGCATATGCATGCACACACACCTGGCTGCAGGTGTTCTGGTGCTTGCGTGAGAGATTGTTCAGCCGAGCGGTGAGGCTGCTGATCTGGCCCCGCAGCATGTTACACAGAACCTCGTGTTGCTCCCAGGCCGCCGCCCCCTGCTGGCCATCTCTCTGGGCCTGTTGCGCCTCTCGTACACTGCTCTCATTTGCCTCTAGGGAACGCTGCAGGGCCAACTACAGGAACCAAGAAAACTCATCAATACAGGAAGAAGATGAAAAGAAATGTAGAACGTAATAAAGTTAACATATTTAACATTTAACCTTTTAAACCTTTTAAACAGACAGCTTTTGTACCTTGACTTTCTTGTGCTCTTCTCTGGATATCATATCTCGCTGGATGGCTTGCAGTTCAGCCTGTAACCTGGATTTTTCTTGGTCAGCATCCTGGCGAAGGGCTCTCTCCACTTGGAGCTCACAGGCTACTTTGGCAAGTTCATCGGTAAATTTAGACAGCGCCTCCTGGTGCTGGGAGGTATGCGGGACATCTTGCTGTCTGCATAAGCAATTATTCACCTCCTGTTGCATGATTAATTCCTCCTTCACTGTAATATCAGCCCAACCCAATGAAGTCTGGGTGCAGCAATCTGATTGGACGGAACAAACACATGGCTAGTTTTAGACGGACCAGAAATATGTACATCTAAAATGAGCAATAGCCCGAAAATCAACATCAGTGAGGTGTGACACAGTAATATAGTTGAAACTGTATACTTCAGGTTATTAATCTGTGCCATGAACAACTGCATTGCCTGTTAGCTACAGTGCTGTCATCTTCATTTTATTACAGTCCACTACTTTCCTGTAAAGACTCAAAGACAGATGAACTTGAATGAAAAAAAACAGCGGATGTGAACAGAGGAACACGATGCTCCTCTTCATCCTCCTGCTTACCTTCCTTGTCTCCAGCAGGCAGACGCTGTAGCCTCTTTAGCTCCAAAAGAGCCTCACTGAGCTGATTGGCTGCCTCGGCCCGTTCCCGGGCAACCTGCTCCAGCTGTAGACTAAAGGTGAGCCTCAGCATATCTAACCCTACCTGCACCACACCCTGCTGCTCCACTTCCTGCTGGCTGCCAGTTACAGCATCCCCTTCAGTTTCTCCTCCCCTCTTCGTCAGAGCCTCTCTGTCTACCCCTTTCTTAAGCAGTATAGCCTCTGTCTCCTCCTCTCTCTTGCCTAATTGCACCTCAGTTTCGTGTTCACCTTCACCTCTGTCTCCCTCTTTCTTGTCCAGCTTCACCTCTGGTTCCTCCTCTTTCTTGTTCAGATGTACGGACTCCTCCTCTTTCTTGTCCAGCTGTACCTTTGACTCCTCCTCTTTATTGTCCAACGTCATCTCTAGCTCCTCCTCTTTCTTGTCCAGTTGTACCTTTGACTCCTCTTCTTTCTTGTCCAACGTCATCGCTAGCTCCTCCTCTTTCTTGTCCAGATGTACCATTGCCTCCTCCTCTTTTTTGTCCAGCTTCATCTCTAGCTCCTCCTCTTTCTTGTCCAGATGTACCTTTGCCTCCTCCTCTTTTTTGTCCAGCTTCATCTCTAGCTCCTCCTCCTTCTTGTCCAGATGTACCTTTGACTCCTCCTCTTTCTTGTCCAACTTCATCTCTAGCTCCTCCTCTTTCTTGTCCAGATGTACCTTTGCCTCCTTCTCTTTTTTGTCCAGCCTCATCTCTGATTCCTCCTCTTTCTTGTCCAGATGTACCTTTGACTCCTCCTCTTTCTTGTCCAGATCCACCTTTACCTCCTCCTCTTTTTTGTCCAGTTTCATTTCTGGGTCCTCTTTCTTGTCCAGATGTACGGACTCCTCCTCTTTCTTTCCCAAATGTATCCTTGACTCCTCCTCTTTCTTGTCCAGATCCACCTTTACCTCCTCCTCTTTTTTGTCCAGTTTCATTTCTGGGTCCTCTTTCTTGTCTAGATGTACCTTTGACTCCTCCTCTTTCTTTTCCAGCTGTACCTCTGGCTCCTCCTCTCCCTTGATCAGATTTAACTGTTCGTCTTTCTTGGCTAGCTGCACCTTTGGCTCCCCCTCTTTCTCAAATTCTAGCTCCTCCCCTTTCACGTCTAGCTGAGCCTTTGACTCCTCCTCTTTCTTGTCTATCTTCACCTCTGGTTCCTCCTCTTTATTGCCCAAATGCACCTTTGACTCCTCCTCTTTCTTGTTCAGTTGCACCTCTGATTCCTCATCTTTCTTTTCTGGCTGCACCTCTGACTCCTCATTCCTGCTCAGCTCACTTTCTGGCTCTCTCTCCTTCTTGTGTAACTCTACACGTAATCCCTCCTTTTTCTTGTTCAGATCACTCTCCAGCTCCTCTTTTTCTTCTAGCTGCACATTATGCTGCTCCTTCGGCTTGTCCAACTGCACCTCTGGCTCCTCATACTTTTCATCCAGTTTCACCTCTGGCTTTAGTTCCTCCTCAGTCTCCTCCCTCTCCTCGCCACCATCTCTCCCATCTTCTCCATTCCAATCTATATTTTCAGCAGGCACCTTATCTCCTCGACACTGCTCTACTTTCCGGTTTTCACTGGCAAACACAAGTCCACCTGGCACCTGACTTCTTAACTCATTCAGTTCCATCAAGGCCTGAGCCAGCTCTTTCTCCAGGCCCTGTAACCTCTGCCTCAGCTCCCCCATGTCCCCCAGCTCCTCCACACTATCATTTGTCCCCATTGGGCCAACACACCTAAACAGGGACAGGAATAGAAGAAACCTCTTAAGGAAAAGATGATTGATACAGGACCTCAAATAAATACAAGGTATTCATCCTTCATAAGTCAATTACGAATGTTTTGATTTACTCCTTATCCAATTTTACAGCTGAATGGGTTAGACCCATGGGCGTCTTTAGGTCAGATCATTCGGGGTTATATATTTTAACCCCGATGCCAATCTTCCTTCAAAAACAAAAAAGTCAAGCCCCAAGTAAACTTGAATTAGCCCTGGATCTTTTCAATAGCTAGAAACGCCCCTAAATGGACTACATATTTTATATTTGATTATAGTTGGGATTTGTCTCAATAATTATGCATTATGCTGTCCAAGTGTTTTAGACCCAATTAGCTACTGCTATTTAAATATTTTGTAGTGGTGGCATGAAAGTGCATAGAGAACTGAAATAATGTCTGTTACCTGCCCTCTTTTGCCAAGCTGGAGGCTGCAGCAGAAGCCTGGGACTCACAGACGGTCTTCTGTTGGTCTTCACTGTCATTTGTGAGAGCGTCAAACTGATCAATAGGGACCAGGAGTGAGTATAAGCTCTGCATGTCCACACTGTCCGATTCCGACATCTCCATCCTCTTCATGGCATGAACGGACAGACCACAGAGTAAAAGCTCCCTCGCCATAATTAATTTCACTGATTTAGTCTGTTGCCAGTGTCTGCTTGCATGTGTGCATCAATGTCTGCTTGAGAACAGGTGAAAAACAAGCGCTGTACGAGAATCAAACAGTTATGTGGGTGAATAAACGCAGCTGCCACTGCAAAGTTCACTTCTTTAGGCAAATATCGAGAAATGTATCATAAATAATATGATGAAATGTGGTACCTGAGGTGTGAGAATTCGGTCTCCCAGCTGCCCCTGCAGAGCCCACCAGGCATGCAGGTTCCCCTGACTGAGGGGGGTACGGAGCGAGTCGCAGTCACCCTGGGACATGTAATCTTCCAGGGCAGAGACAAACTCCGGCTCCGAGTCCCGTGACTTTGGGGAGAGCGGCTTCTCAGCCCCTAGAAGAGACTCGCATGAGCACCTTTACAGACCCAACAGACAGCTGGCAAACCATAATGCAGAAAATACACTACAAATAAACAAAAGAGATGCCTTTCAAACTTGTGCTTTCCAGTCATTTTTGCATAATCCCACGCACGCTTTTCTCATTCGGATCTGAAATTTCACTCTGTATGGAGGAATTTTGCGATCCGATCCATGCATAAAGCCCTGGGCTTCACAGACCCAAAGCCCCGCTGGGTGACTGACACACCAAAATTCTCTGTCTCCAGCTGGGGCGTCTCCAGCAGGTTCTGGATGGCCACCTGGAGCCTGACCCTCTCTGCCTCCACCTTCTCCAGCTGTTCCTGCAGCACACACAGCTGGGGAGGGGGGTGTTGGGGTGGTTAGGGCACATGAATGTAGGCATGTACACTGACATACATGTGTTTGTGGGAGTAAGAATCATGAGGGATCTGATGAATATTAGAGACAGTTAGCCCTTAAAACTAAGTTTAGTTAATTGTTACACCCAAAGGACGTCTACAGTTACACACCTAAAAAGGTGGTGTTGTATAGGGTGACCAGATATTCCATGTCAGGGAGGACACTTTGACCTAGGACAGGATTTGTGATCTACTATTTTAATTAAACAGACCTGGATTTCACTTAAGCACCAAATTCTTGCTGTGTGCTGATTGGTCAGTCTCCTTTAATCATGCATCGTTCACTAATGTTAATGTGAAACAGCTGCATGAGTCTTTCAGTCAAGCAAACAAAGCAGAAGAGCTAAACTTTTAGCTAAGTACAGGAGCCTTTTTCTTTTAAAGTAACTTGCAAAACCTGAAGTAGCTCAAAGTGAGCTGAAATGGATTATCTGCTCACCCTAGTGTTGTGTGAATCTACATGCAATACCTCCTCCAGGACACCGTGGGCACTGTGGTGCTGCCGCTCCAGGCCCTCAAGCTTCTGCAGTAGATGAGCTCTCGCTGGTTTCAGCCTGAAAATACCTTCCATCTCATACACAACAACTCAGTGTCATTACCTGATCCAACAGCAGAGCACAACGTCCATGCAGTTTCTGAAGCAGCTTATCCTATTCTGGGCATCCAGAGCTTATGGGCACAAGGCAGGGAACAACCCAAGATGGGGCACCAACCCATCGGAGGGTTCATTCACACATGCACTCCTATGGAGAATTTGGTAACGCCACTCAGCCTCAGCAGAGGAGAACATGCAAACTCCACACACATGGAGCCATGGTGAAGACTTAAACCCTGGTCCCAGAGATGTGGGGCGACAGTGCTGACCACTGCACCACCATGCCACCCACAGAATGCCACTGCATTGCCTAAATGCCCCACAGAATATACCAGCTGCACAGATCGCAGTGGACCTCATCTTGCACTCTTCTCCACATACTGAAATGCATATTTTGAAGTGTGGATGGAGAAAAATTTCTTACTGTAAATATTATGCAACTTACTATAACTCATGCTCAAAGAGAGGACAGGGTGCATCTTAATTTCCCAGGAGGTAAATCTGTGCAACTGTGTTCTCACATTAACTGATGCGCTTGCTATTATACAGAAGTGAAACGTAGCAGTGATTGGATACAAGCAGCACATTCATGCTAGCAGCCGTGGTTTCTTGCATCGCAGTGCAGTGCCATGTCATCTGGGAGTATGTAAACAGCACACACACATTTACCTCCTCACCGGTGCCTTCCGGTGCTTCATGTATAAGTGGGAGGGAAAAGATGGAATACAGACAACAGATCTTTTAAGCCGCAGCTGCACTGAGATATATAACAGGAACCGTGTGTTTTCTATCAGTCGATATCAACCACCCATTAGAAATGATTGAATCACTGTACTGATATGAACTGGATGATCTCACTGACAATACCTTGCACTGTGGGCTGGAGCAATTGACTCAAACACTGTGCCTCATTGGCTGACTGAGGGTTGGCTCCGCCCCTCAGCAATGCATCAATTGTCTCCAAATTGCCATTCTTATACGCCAGCATCAGGGCTGATCTGGAGGAGCGTATGCATGATTAGACTGCGTGATCATTGCTCCACCTTGGCATTACTCAGAGTACAAGCTTTTTAAAGGCAAACATTGCGTTTTTTTCATTGTATTGGGCCTCCATAATGAGCTCTGTGTGTATATAAACTGTAACTGGACTTTTAAGATGTTGGTTGTTTTTAATTCAGAGTGCTGGAAAGCGCCCTCACCTCCCCTGGCTGTCTGGCTGGTTGACATTAGCGCCTTGGTCTAACAAGAAGACACACAGCTCTGGGCGCCCCATTTGGGCTGCTAGGAGGAGTGGTGTCACCCCATCCTGTGGGAGCAATGAGACTGGGCTTTACTACATTTCCCACAATCCTTTCTGTTTGATGCTCGTCCATATGACACTCCAATTCACAGCAACATACATGCCAGATGGCCATGACTGCAGTCTACAATACATAAGTCTTGTTTACAATACATAAGTAGAAAAGTAATTGCTTAGAATGCACACAAAGGTTAATCCTAAATTAGTATGGCACTCAAAGTGCAATCAAAAGTGCAATCAAGACTCTCTTATGGCTTCAGAAATAATGACCCACCGCATCTTGAGCATTTACACACGCCTTGAAATTCCCCAGCATCTCTACACAAGCAAAGTATCCATGAACCACTGTATCAGCAGCAGGGCACAGCAGAGAAAGAAGGAAACAGGAAGTTAACAGTTTATGGGGCTTCTGCTTGAGGAAAGCTGAGGCACATGTGAAGATGGGCCTGGATTTACAGAAGCGGGGTTCGGTAGGACCTACCTGCGTGATGAAGGGCTGTCCTGCCAAAGCCGTCGATTAAATCCACGGGGATCCCCTCCTGTGAGACAGCATTGTCACTACCGTACATAACTCTATGGCTGTGTTTCCCAACCCGGTCCTTGGGGACCCACAGACGGTCCCCGTTTTTGCTCCATCCCAGTAAATGTTGACCACATGCAGGTCCCTGAACACCAGACTGGGTAACGGCGCTCAATGGCATATCACAGCAAAGAGGAAACTGCCTGATCACAATGTGTTCATTCAGGCACTGCTGCTTTGTGCCCAGCACCATTATTCAGTGAAGATGCAGTATTTGTAGTCAGTCCCCTGCCTGAACATCGCCGCTACACTGGGTGCTCACCCGCAGCAGTCTCCTCAAACACGCGGCGTGGCCGTTTTTAGCTGCGAGGTGCAGAGCACTCAGTCCTTGGGGAGAAACAAAGACAGTATTCAGCTGATAATTCAGTGGGTAAATAACTAGACTCATTACCAAGGGGCCTCACTAATATACACCTGAGAAAAGGTTTGCATCCGTAATTGTTTCAGTGAAAAATGAATAATCCAGTTTATAAATGAGGTCATATATATATATATATACACAGCATATGTGTGTGTGACTACGTGTGTATCTGTATATGTAACTGCAAACAAGAGAGAGTTCGAGAAGCAGTGATGTATTCAACCTCGAATACAAATCAAGTATCAGTCAACCAGTGCCTGAGTCCTAGTTAAAGTCAGAGTGACCAGTACTCAGGTCTCAGTCCAAATTCAAGTCATCAGTGAGTAAGTCTGAGTCCAAATATAAAAAGACCCCAAAGATTTTCAAAAATAGACAATAACAGAATTCAAACACAGCAGGTAAACCAAAAAAAGACTATTTCTTCTATACTATCTATATCTATACTACCATTGCCATACATGCTTAAAAAAAACTTTCACTCTCATGAATAATTACAAATTCTACGCTTCCTGTGGATGTTGGTGGACATATTTGGTAACTTGTGAGAAAAGGTCCTAAGGACCATCTGATCACCCAGTGTTGTATTCATCCCCAGAGCCTGGTACTCTTTGTATCTGTTGTGGAAAATGAAAAAATACTGCTGTGTGAATTGAGTAACCTTTAAATTACTTTTTTAGATAAAAGTATGGCAAGGCGTTTACAGAAGTTTGGCTGCATTTTTAGGGGTCAGATCCAATCAAAATTGAAGAGGATAGAACATGTCAGATTAGGTAGGATCTGATCTGTGGATTAGGATTTTGTGCCCATGATCGGAAGGTCGCCGGTTCAAATCCCATGGAGGGCAGAGTGATGTCAGTGTTGGGCCCTTGAGCAAAACCCTTAACCTCAGCTGCTCCAAAGACACTAGCTGACTCCCAAATTCTCACGTGGATGTCACTTTGGACAAAAGCTTCTACTAAATAAATAAATACAATGTAAATAGAAAAAAAACACACACAGTTCATTATCATTCCAGTGTTATTCAACTGACACACCAGCATAATGTCATTGATGAGCTTACAACAACATGCTTTTTATTGTGCTTTGACTGATTGAGTCAGAGTCAAAGTCCAAGTCAGAGTCACAGGTGAGTCTCAGTCTAAGTCTGAGTCATGGTAATCGTGTCTTGAGTACTACAACACTGGTGTGAAAAACTGTAGCGTATAAATCGGATCAAACCAATCCTCTCCCGAATCACTTCCTGTCAGTCAACAGCTCAGCTCAAAGCTTCTCCTGTTTGCTGACATGCTGTGTTAGAGACATTCTGCTGGGTCCCATGTCTGTGAGACGTGGAGATGCGTTACCGCTCCCATCCGGGCTGCTGACATCTACGCCATGTGACAGGAAGACATCGAGACAGTCCATACGCCCCTTCGATGCACTGATGTGGAACCTGGAGAGGAGAGTTCCTGGAACTGTCACTCAATGTCTGAAGGATGGCTAACAAATAAATGCTGGAGTATTAGGAGTATTACACTGAACTTTGGGAGTATTACACTGAACTTTGGGAGTATTACACTGATCTTTGGGAGTATTACACTGAACTTTGGGAGTATTACACTGAACTTTGGGAGCATTACACTGATCTTTGGGAGTATTATAAATATATCAAATAAAACAAGTTTCCTTTATAACATGGAAAGAGCATGTAACAGTGCATGTCTGACATCCTATTAACTGGTTGTCTGGTGATGGTATAGTCAAATTCTAGGCTGTCCTTTAACTTTAAATACACCAGTTAACTGTTTGATTCCATGAAACGGAGCAGTATTTAATGTGCCCTGTAGAAGGAATGCCTCAAATTTTCCTTGCTGTTATAATTGCTAGAGGAGGTTACATTGATGAATAAAAGACACGATATTTTCTTGCTAATAAAGGGACTCAAATGGTGAATATACTGTGAATGTATTTGTTAGTGAAGAATGTTGAGTGTATTTTTAGCAAATGTTAAGTGAGTAACATGCAAATGTAGAAAATCTCAGTGTGTGCATAAAACCTTTGACTGGTAGTGTATTCCACCCAATTTCCACAAGCACTTATCTAGGACATGTTTACTGTGAGCCTGGAGCCCATCCAAGAGACACAGGACAGGGGACTGGGCACATACTCAGACACCAATTGACTTAGTCTGCGTGAAATAAAGGGAGAACATGCAAAATCCACACGACAGAACCAGGGCTGGGAATTCATGACCTTTAAGGCGTAAGGCTACAGTACCACCCATGACCATGTGACTCAATCTAATCCAAGCATCATTTAATTTGGTTACTATTTATATAATAATAATAATAATAATAATAATAATAATAATAATAATAAAGGCATTATATATATTGTTGTTGTTGTGTATGTTATTATTATTATTATTATTATTTATTTTAATAATAATCCATGCATTATGGGTCTATCTATCTATCTATCTATCTATCTATCTATCTATTTGCAAAGACTGAAATATCAAACTTATCCAAGGCTTAAAAGTGTTATGGGTGTTAGAAAAGTCCACTAAGAAAATATGATCAATTCACTGGCTCACGCAGATTTTCCATCGGGATCTAGCTTGGAGGGGCAGAGCCCCTTCTTCACCAGCAGGGCGGCAACCTTGTCGGGGTCGTTCTGCTCCACGGCCTGCAGCAGCCTCTCATCACTTTTATTCCAGTCCAGGCTCTGACAGAAGGCGGACAGCCACACGCAGACAGCCAGAAGATGCAGAAGCATAACGGGGGGAGGGCAGACGTCATCATCATTTCATAAGAATTTCTGCACATTCGTTCTGCAAGACCTGCTTATACATCCTGAACATCTAGCTTTGCATTTATTAACTGCAAGCACTTTTCTCCAAAGCTAAATATAGGTCAACCTGAATAACAAGTGCTTTGGCTTGACAACAGAATGGCTGACTATAAAATACACTAAAATACTGCATTATAATAATGGACTACAGCAACGGTTTGAGATAATAAATTGCTCTTGGAACTTATGCATAACATTAACCTCATAACGTAGCAAACAGCAGAAGCTCGTGATATGCATACATATGAGCATAACTCATAAAACTACATCGGGGCCAGGAGTCGGACGTAGTCCTATCCCCAAATGTAATCTTTAGCCCCAGTAGTGTAACATGTGGTCGGAAACATACCCTGAGCGCGCTAAAACAAGGGCAATAGCGCTTCATCCAATTGAGCAGGAGTTGGGAATCCATGGGGTCGCGAGCACAGCGCGCAGCCGGGCTCTCGGTGACCGCGCTGAGGACTGGAGGACCGTCCCTTTTGGAAACAGAGACAAACGCCTGTTCATAATCCCAAATTCACTCACACACACACGCCCAGACACAAATTGGCGCATGCACTCATATGCATGTAATCTGCAGTGCCAGACACGTGGACCGGTGCGCAGAAACTCAAGGCTGAGCAGATGCTGATTTAAGGGGATTCACCATGACACAGATCATCACACAGAGAAAACCACAAATACTGCCACACAGAGCTGCCGTGGTGTTAGCGCAGACGGGCCGACTGTGATTTGACAGATTTGCCAGAAAGACACATCCTACAAGGACGTAAGAACACTGCTTTTTACTCTGAGGTACTTCTCTCAAATTAGCCCGGAAGACCGTAAGTAAATCACCCTGCGGGTTAATAAAGCACGAGAGGTACCACATCCCCCCCCCCCCTACCCGGGTGCGATCTACAAACCGCAGTCTAGCACCGCATGTTCAGACTCCACCCTTCAGAGAGAATAACGGTCTATCCACGGAAGATGCAGATACACAAATGCACAGACAGAACACGGCTCTGCACGTTTGGTAGCCCAGTCTCACCCCACCGCTCTGGTGTTCGCATCCGCCGCAGAGTCCGTCGCAGCACTGCAGTCCGTACCTCGCCGGAGTCTCCTCTCCTTCTGTGCCCTTCCTCCTCGCCCTCACATCAGATGCTCTATTAGGATTCCCCCCGCTCTCTCTGCGACTCCTTTAGCCTTTTCTGGAATCTTTCTTGGCGCGCGCTGCCCCTCGGTCCTCCTTTCCCCTCGCGAAACTCTCCGTGTTGTTCCGGCTTGTTCTCCCCCTCCCCCGTTTATCTCAGCCCGGTCATCTCTCAGCCCCATTTGCATCAGCGCATGACAGCTCAGCAAAACTGAGCGCCAGCGTCAGGGGACAGAGAGAGGACCGTCGTGAAGGCCCTGAGGAGCATACCGAGAGGCACTCTGGGGGATCAGACAAGGATGTAGAGAGATGCACTAACGTGCGTGACAGGGACTGCAAGGGTCGTCCTATTTTTTCTGATTGACCCAAAAGTTGAAAAGGGAGGTGTTGTGCTGGACCTGACAGGGTTTGAGAGATGTACTGATGGACCTGAGAAGGACCAAGAGGGATAGTCTGTTGGACCCTAGACTGATCTCAGCAAAACAGGAATACACAGGTGACTGTATCCATGTGACTTAAAACGTAACAGCTGCAGAAAATGCAAAAAGACTGCATTTTACATACGTTATATATTTGTTCACTGGATATTGTTTTTAGCGTTTTTTTACCCTTTCACTGTAGTTTCAATACAGATATAAATGTTGTTACACTTAGTGAACTTTTTGCCTGTCATAGTTTTCTGGTTCAATGTATATTGTAGTTTTTTCTCAGTGTGTAGGCAAGACAGGTTCGGAAAAACTCCACTGAAATAAATGAATTACTATACAGTGTGCCAGTGTGCCATGGCCATAAAGACTGTAGTTTTACTCTGCAAATATAATAAATGACATCATCCTCTAAAAGGAGTTGGAAAAAAACTACAAATATGCCCCATATAGGCAAGAATAAAACTACTTTTGGCCCATTTTTTTTGTGTACAGAACAGCTCAGTGATTCATGTTCTGTGCAAGAGGAATAGGTCAGTGTAAACTGGGCAGCAAAAACGGCTGCAATTGAAAAATAATTCCTGCTTCTTCCAGATTGTCATTCTGTATAAAGAACGGAGACTTGAATTGCAGCTGAAGTCAGAGGTGTGCCATGATTGCTATTCCTCACCTCCCCCACAAGTACAAGAATATTATTTCAGAAGTTAGTTTTGGAGACCAAACTTCTAATAGTTCGTATAGATGTAGTACTGACAAAGAGCCACGCGGTGGCAGTATAAACCATGATACTGTTCTCTACGGCGATTTCGGAATTGTTTGTAACACCCATTTAGCTGTGATTCAAGTTTTGTTGACGGTTTTCACTTATGCCTTCAGTGAATGGTACAAAAAGTTAGCGGAGTTTTTACTAAAGTATGTGACCAGAGAACAAAATAACACAATAATTGTTTATATTTTCTTTCAGTAAGTACCAGATAGTTAGAGGTTAAGGTCTCCCCTTATTCCAACAACAAAGAAGTAAAACTAGAGCAGTTTTTTGGTTGGTCACTTCCTGCTTTAATATAAACGCATAATTCACCTATTTGTTGAACATTGTTCCAAGTTTCCAAATTAAGAAGTGCTTTCTGTAGGGGTAACTGGAGTGGCTGTGATTGTGTAATGTGTTGTACCCAGGCCTCCTTGTGCTGTGTTTAGTCCGGAACAGCTTGATAATTGGAGGAAGGATTATGGACGCCTTTAGTTTCACTCAGAATCACCAGAAAGAGTTATTTTATAGCAGATATATTGCAGAAAGGGGACTACGGTACAGAGTAAAATACTGATTTAAACAAAACAGAGCAGTAACAGTAAGAAACTAAAAAGGGAACTCCACCTTTAATCACAGCAACATTCCTTCAGGTGTTTCTTCTGCATAAAATTATTAAAATACTTCTGATGTGGATTAGATTTCATCCAGGGTGTTTTTGCATTAATAAAACAATTGATATAATAATAATTAATAATTTAATACCAAAGTCACAGAAGTGCTGAACATGTCATTTTCCATGAGAGGACAAATCACCGCACTTCCGCCAGGGGGCACACTTTAAGTCCGGCCCACTAAAAGGAAGCTCAAATCAAGTATTTAATCGTCGGATTTCTATGCCCCCACATAATAACGCTTCCTATATAATACAAGTATAGAATATCAATGCATAAGGTGGTTATCTACCTTTATATAATCACCAACAAGACCCATCTCAGAAAAGCGACACGAAAACATACACTTAGGACGGGGACATTAAATGTCGGCATGACTAAAAATTAACGAAGCGGGCTGTTTACTCCCCTTTAAGGCGATTGTTCCCAATTCTCTTTCCCATTCGCGATTATCACTCGCTTCCTGGCGGAACTCGCCGATGTCTCACCGCTGCAATCCCGGAGTTGATCGTTTTTCCCATTTCCTATGTAGCGCTTGGAACAAAAACTATGAAGAGCTGAAACGGTGATTTTCGCCCCTTTGTTCGCGTTTTAATCTGAAAAAATACATCGTGCGGAGCAGAAGGCAGCGAACTCTCACCGCGAAGCGACACAATATTCCCTGGATACGAGATTTAAAAAAAATATTTGCATAGGATATATATCAGATCACGGGAATACAAATCGTGTGATTGCATTAACAAATGCTCCGGGAATACTGGTAACAGTGAAGTTCGATATGATAAAAGGATTGTTTGCAATAAATATTCCCAGCCAGATTTGTCTCCTTGAATATTAACCGAGAATGTAATTAAGATGTTGCATATTAATATGTAGCCTTTTTCTTCAAATTGTTGAACTTTTATGAAAATGAGATGCATCTACTTAGTAAGCTAATTCCTTCCGTACTCCACAATGAAATCAACAGGGCTCTCAAAGCACTGCACGTAAACCCCGCAGGACTAACCAGGACACAATTCCCAATGAGGATCAAGCCCGAAAACAGTTAGAGAAAAGGGAGCATCAAAAGAGGTGAACTTTTACATTGAAAAGTATTTTATTAATCGACACATTTACTCTTTGGTGTGTATTAATTACATAGCGTAATTAAAGATACACAGCACATTTAAGTGCTGATGCGCTTGCTGTTTCTTATTCGACTTTTTAAACCACATTTGACTTTACGTACTGAAATTAAATTTACAGCATAGTTTTGATTTGATGAATGATTTGCCCATACATACGAAGCTAAAACAGTATGTTTTAATGTGTCAAGTAATCAGTAAGCTTGAAGTGAACAAGTTGGACTTTTGGTGAATCAACGCACGGAGCAGCTGTCACATCGAGTCAAGTTTGATCTTAACCTACGAAGAAGAAAGATCGAAGCATCTTGGAGAATGTTCTAGATGATGAGAAGACAAGGCGTGCACGTTAGTTAGTTCACTTTGACGAATGTTTTTTTCTCTTCCAAGTACATTTTCCATGGGTAGTTAAGAGTATTGTTGTTTCCCGAAGCCGCAGCCCGCAGATCAAAGCCAGCTTGCGGGGAAAGTGTTGCTCTTGCGGTTCTTCAGATCTCCGAGCTGACTTGCCGCGTCTGTGCGTGTTTGCCTGGCGTGGCCGGATTTCAGAGTGATTCACTATTTAAATCCTACTGTGATGTTTCCCCAAGAAACAGAGGTGTGAATTTTGAAGCCTATTTGATTTACTTCTTTCTCGTAAGGCTGGGTTGCTCTGCACTTAAGATTAGGTTAAGTTTAAGCCAGCTACCTTCAAGACTAAGGCAAGAATTTATTCTCTTATCGAGCATTTGTGAACCATATTGAATGTTTTTGTGAAGGAATCCATGGCAAAGTGGCTGAAGGATTATCTGAGTTTCAGCAGCCGGCGAGCCCCACCACAGCCACCTAAGCCAGACTACACGGAGAGCGAGATCCTCAGAGCCTATCGCGCACAGAAGAACCTGGACTTCGAAGATCCGTACGAGGACGCGGAGAACCGAGCCAGGAACGAGTCTGTCATGTCAGACCTGACGCATCACGGCTTAGGCTCCCCGCTCAAGTCTGTCGGTACGGATGTAAAAATGGTGTCGCCTAAACATCGACTCATCAAGGTGGATTCACAGGAGCTGGGTCGCTGCAAAATACTGCTGAGTACCATCTCGTTTGAAGACCCGCCGGAGCCGGTAAGTGTCTGTAGAGATTACCCAGAATTGCTTATTATTCATAATGTACTTTAATTAACGCGCGTTACTCCGCAAACTAGTGTTGGGAGGGACTGCACGTGATCATTTTGTTAACTTTGGCACTGGCCATCGAGCTGGATTTGTGAGCCAATATTGCAACTTCGAGCAAGGTGCTTTAGTAAATTTATAGGGAAAATGAATTCAGGGCATTCATGTGAAAAGGGTACTTAAGAACCGTGGCTGCCGAAACTCCTACTTCGTCATACTACATTTTGCTAGGCCATTTTTTATGCATATGCCTTAATGCCTGGGAAAGAATGAATGAAACTGGTAAAATTGCAGACGGTATGCTTAACATTTCCCACATTTAATGCTCTTCATTCAAGATTTTCATCTCTTTTCTCCGTGGAGAAAGCGGTCGCAGAATGTAACAGTGATCACTTGGGTTGCGGATGCAATTATTTCCGTCGCTGCCTCCTTGCAGCGCAGATGAAGACGGCGACAATCAGACCGGAGACGCGCGGCGTTCGTGTCTCTCCGCTTTACCCTCTGCCCCGTTCAGTCTCGCCACGGGCGGCCCGTGGGACGGGGGATTAGCGAGAGAAGACATGACAGACTCACTCATCATAAGCATCCATCTTCTAACCACTTATCCTGGTCAGGGTTACGTGGGGATTTCAAGCAGTATAACCACCAGGCGGGGGTACAGATGTACATCAGTTTTGTTTTTCTGTATATATCAACAATGTGTGTACATGATGATACAGTGGATTAGGGGATATTCACAGTGCTGAAAGGCATTAAATTATAGCCACGATGGGGTGTAATTTGAGAAGCGAGTACCTGTATGTATGATTAGCCGGTCAGAGACCGAGACTTCTCTAAAGGCTTGGGTCATGCTTCCGCTTGCTGTTAGTGACAAGACTGCCCCCTATCCATCTGCTCGTGCTTCTGGGTCGATGCAGATGGCTTTTGGATACCTGCTTATAGCCCTGTCTCTGCCCCCAGCATGAGGGCACTGAAATAGATGACACCGTCAGCGTTCCTTATAAGGTATGCCAGTCCGGAGTGGAGTTCCCAGCATGCTTTGGGAGGCACTGTGATGAGCAGGTGAAGGAATATGCATGTCTGTTCAGTGGTTTGGACCGACATTATCCAGGAGGGTTAGGAGAAAGCATTCCGATCGTGCTCAAACAGCTACCCAAAGAGTGGAGCCTGCTTTTCAGACACACACACACACACACAAACGCACATACATACGCACACAGAGTCCGCGGTAGCTCTGCGGAATTTTGCGTGCCCCCAACCCCCACACTGCATTCCTCACTGCGGGCCCAGTGGCACTGCCCCAGTGGAGGTGGTGCTAGACCCATGGGGATATCTGCGGGGGGGGGGTGCTGAGCTGGGCGTATTAGTCAGGCTCATCTGCGCAGACGTACAGGAATGCTGTAAAAGCGCAGCCATGGCCACAGCCCTGTAGCACACGCCGCCACCCGCGGTCTGGTAATTATTACATCCCCTTTAATGAGGCCAAAGTTTCCGCGCAGAGACGCTGGGCTCGCACAGCCTGGCAGCCGGAGAGGTCTCCGCGTTTAGGGTCTGTTGCAGGCCCCTGACGAGATGCCGTCGGACCGCTTTCGGGAAAGCCAGAGGTCATCCCTTCCAGGCGAGCATGCTGGGTAAAGCGAGGGTGAGATCCGAAGGACGCATTTAGTCACGGCCAGGCGACCGAGGACACGACAACGAAGTGGTGTTTCCTAAAAGCCGGCCGGCGTCCTGCGTTCGTGCGTGTCCCCCGTGCAAGTGCCCGTGTGTCTTCACACTCTCGTGACCGGATCTGTGCCCTGTTGTCGTCCTAGGTGGTCCCGTCGGCACCCCTGGCCAGAGACACGGACTACTCGGACCCGTTTGACGCCCGTCTGGACCTGCGACCCATGAGGCCTGGGATGGAGCTAGTCCCGACCGAAAACAACGGTTACATGGAGCCGTATGAGGCCCAGAGGGTCATTGCCGGTATGGCACTGTCTGGCTTCTCTCTCAGCATTAATTGTTATTGCCAGGAACAGTGGTACCGAAATAGGCGCTGTTCCCTCTTCCAGCCTGCAGAGCGGCGCTCAATGCACTGTGACGTGCTGCCCGCCAACTCTGATTGTCTCCACGTCCCTCTGTGTCCCCTGTGCAATTTTTTTTATCTCTCTCTCTCTGTCTCTCACACTCTCCATCCCTCTCACTTTCCCCGTCTCTCGAAGCCTGAATGTCGCACTTTTTTTTTTTCTCTCCATTTGATGGTCTGGTCTGAAACTCCACACCAGTACCCCCTGCCAACTTCTTCCTTAATTATCACCTCATCCCTCATCCTCCATAGCGGGGAGGCTGCGGCCATGGTGAGATGTACTGGATGGGAGAGTGAGCTTGTTTCCTCTCTGCCGCCCAGTTGCAGTTTGCTGCCTTTCATTCTGTTCCACCCTCGTCTGTTGCCCTCAGACGTTAAATTGGGGCAGGAGGCTTGGGTTTGCAGGCTGAATGACTGGTGGGTCCTTTTAGGAGACCGTCGCAGACGTATCGACTGACCGATGAGTGCGTGTGTGGCGCTATAATTGCATGCTGGGAAATTTTGGGAGACATCAGGGAACGCAGGTGTCTGACCCCCTTAATGCCCTGATTCCTTCTGCCTTCCATTTTTAACTCCTATCGGTAGAATATGGTTCCATCACAATTTTCCAGCATCCATCCTCCGCTTCATGGGCTTCTTGAGTGCTGTTCCTCTATTTCTGTACATAGAAATCCTACACACACCCCCCACTCCCACCTCAGGGTCTGTCCTTGGGGGGGGGGGGGTTTCTCATCACCATGGAGACAGCAGGGGCACCCGCCAGCAAAGTGTCATCTGAAGGTTAAAGTTTCCCCAGTTCCTTTCCTCCTTCCGTTTGCCGCTCTCTGCGGTGATTTATCCTCGGTCCCTAAGTGCTGCTGTTGTCACTAAATTGTAGTTTCATCCTCATTTTGTAACACTGGCACTGAAACACTCGGCAGCTGTAACTAACTGCACTGGGTAACTGCGCGTCCATTTGAAGCTCACCATTAGCTTCGGCTAAATGGATTTTGTGTCCAACAATTTGACGCAGGCATTGATCTCCAGCTTCTCTCTTGGTGTTTTGGGGGGATTGTTAGAGCTCCTGTGTTCTGCATTATATGAGCAGTATCGATGGCAGCCGTTCTGAGTCCTAACCATACTTCTGGGTAACCCCCCAATTGCTTTGGGGTCTGACTGACCCTCCCTCTTCAATTACACACCACTTTGGATAAAAGCAACTGTAACCAAATGTAAGCGTTACTAGGTTGAAACAATTCATTGAATATGATTTCATGAACTTGATTAATAAATATCGATTCGTATCATTGAATGATAACGATATGCCAAAATGCTGCAAAATCTGTGAAAAAATTCTCACACCAAGCAATGTAGATCAGGACTCTTCTAATCTGGCCCTCGATTCCAAATCCAGGCCTTATTTTCAGTTCTCCCAGGTAGTTAGTTTAATAATTACTGATTCTGATTGGTCAGAGGCTTCACACCTGACTCACAGGTAAAGGAAGGCTGGAAAATCAGCAGGACCTGGCCAATGAGGACCGTGATTTGAAGAATCCTACTATAGAGACTGACCTTAGTAGAGAGTAGAGAGCAATACATTACAGTAGATCTTACGTAGTTCTGTACATCTATGTTCATACATTTTCAGAGAGTAAGCTGCCATCCCATCCTGAGCCGATATTAGCATTAGCATTAGCGTGCATAATATGCAAAATTACCAGTGCATTTTGTATCGGGATATTCACAAACCCATGTTTGCATCCTCTCTATCCTGTCCCTCGCCTTCTCACCGTGTCAGAGCTGCAGCGGGGCGTGGAACGGCAGAAGGGCGTGCCGCAGCTTTACGACACGCCGTATGAGGAGCGGGTGCGTGGGCGGAGCCTGTGCCGCCTCGGGGTCCTCGACGGAGGCAGGGAGAGCCGCCTGCCTCGAGACGATGAGCGGCCGGCAGATGAGTACGACCAGCCCTGGGAGTGGAAGAAGGACAACATCTCCAAGGCCTTCGCAGGTACTGCCCTAGCCACGCCCCCTCAGCTTCACTGCATGGCCACACCTCTTCGGTTACTCTACTTAGCCACTCGCCCTCAATTTCACTGCTTGGTCTCGCTCCCTCGTTACTTTCACTGTTTGGCCTCACCACACATATTCACCGCTTGGCCACACCCCCTTGTCAGTTTCACTGCTTGGCCACACCCCCTTGTCAGTTTTTCTGCTTGGCCACACCCCCTTGTCAGTTTCACTGCTTGGCCACACCCCCTTGTCCGTGTCACTGCTTGGCCACGCCCCCTTGTCAGTTTCACTGCTTGGCCACGCCCCCTGGCCTTTCCATAATTCTTGAATTTCACGCATAGTGTAATAGACGTTGTACCTCTGTGAACTTCTGGGTGACTGTGATGAATATGTTTCTGTGGCCTGATTGGCTGTTAGTTGGTAGGTAATGTAAAAATGCTATACTGCCCTACAAAGGCAGAACACAGTAACTACACTGACACTGAACCTGTACCCTAAATGTAATATTCATACACTCTTTTCTATAAAACCAAGCACAGTTGAACTGAGCTTTTGCCAAGAGATAAAACAGTGCCTAAAAGAATCGATTTCTGTCACCATTCAGTTTTGATAAAAAATATGCAGTTACTGTTTTATCTTTCTTTGGACAGAACAGGAGAGGGGGGGCAGTGGGTGTAGCACATGGGTCTGACAGCGAGAACTGATTGGCTAATACCCCCCAGGTGACTCTCTCTCCTTTGATTGGCTGACAGACCCTGGCAGCAATGGTGTGTGTGTATTGGCATGAACAGAGTGTCTGTGTCACGTTGTGTAGGTAGTGATGACTTTTTTATACAGTCACATTCCTGTTGTTTGACGAGAGAGAGGTGGTACGGAATCACGGTCTGATGGTTTGTCCTGCAGTGCATGCTGGGATCCTACGGCAGGCTCGGCCACGAGAGCCACCTGTGATTATTTCGGAGGGAACAGGAGAACAGTGCCCTCCCACCGAGGCATAATCCCCCGGCCCGCCGGTCTGCCTTGTCGCCGTCTCTCGCAGGCACGCGTCACGCGTCTTGTCACAGTCTGCTGAGGTGTTTTTCCTAACATCTGTCCCCCCTCCCCCACAGTGACGGTAATCATCACCGTGTGCCCAGAGGTGGCGGTGCGGGGGGTGGGGGGAGGCACACGCACGCATGGTTGGGCAGTCTGACATGCTAAAAGAAAAATAATAATAAATGTGTGTGGAGTTCGCGTGCACAGCGGTGGGAGGCGTGTGTGTTCAGATCAGGCCCTTGTGTTCCGGAGACGGATCTGGCATTCCTGCTGGCCGCCTAATGTTCCGGGAGAGGAGCACAGTGCCGCCACAGACGCATCCCGCACACGAACAAAGACCAGATTTCCTTTGTCTTTACGCGCGCCAAAAAAAAATAAGCTCTTTGCAAGGTGCTGCTTATTTTTAGTGCAAAGCCACAAAGCCTGTCAGGGGAGAGCCTATAAAACCAGTACAGCCCCCCCAGCCACCGACCACACCCCCCCCCCCGGGGTATTACACCCAGCACCTGGGGGCTGCCCTCCTCCTGCATTCCTGATGTTCCCAACTGCCACGTTCATATAAACACCTGAGACGACTCGTCTGCACCCAGATAGATGCGACGCTCTTTGTGTGGCCGTGTGCTTTATGCCGGTGTGGCACTTCTGCATGTGTGAGGTGTGAGGATCTGTGGGTGGGGTGTTAGTGTGTGTGAGAGAGAGAGGGGGGGGGGGAGGAAGGGAGAGAGAGAGGGAAGGAGAGGGAGATTACTCCTCTGACAGCTTGCCTGCCGTTCTCAGTCCCTGGGGTCCTGGTGACCTGCCTCCGTGTGTCGGCGAGGTCGGGCAGCTTGGGCAGGTACATAATGGACGGTTGGGGGGGTGGCTGGGGGAGGGGGGCGATGCCGATGAGCTCTCGGTCTTTTCGCTTTTCCTGTGGCGCCGAGCGGCAGCCCGGCCGAGGATCCGGCTTCGCTCCCGTGGCGTCGTCAGGAGGGCCGTTATCTGTGCAGCTGGTGACGCTGCAGTCAGACGCCTGCTCATCAGCACGAGTAGCGGAGACGGATGCGGAGATAACGGGGGGAAATTGCCGATAAATGTCAGGATGCACGTTTTGATGAGTTTGGCCCGTCGGCACGGTGCCGGGACGCTCACTTTTGGGCTGTGGCGGGGGGGCGGTTGAGGGGCCAGCTGCTGCCTCGCTAACGACACGGGGCTCTGAACACGGTCACAGGGCGTCATTAGCTGCCCTCGTTAGTACAAACGGTCGGTTCGGTGTTCAGTAGCTCGCATCCGTACGCGCCACTGCTCTGGGGGGGTGTCGTTTAATCTACGCAATGAGGCCCGAATCTCCGCATGCAAGGGGTCGCAATTAATGGAACGTGCCGGAATCGCAAACCATTAAGGTTAGAATCGCGTCGGAAAGATGTTTAATTTATGTTTAAAAGCCGTAACAGCCGGGACTGATGCTGAGAGTGTTATGAGGTTATGGGGGTGAGGAGTCACTCGCGCTCTGGGGGGGCGTGTGTGCGTGTGCTGACAGGTGTGACAGCTGCTCGTGTCACGAGGGAACCACGGAAGATCACATGAAAGGCGCGGACTGAGCTGAACCACACGCACAAACCCACACATTTAACTGATTTTTTTTTTTAAACCATTTTTAACAGCTGAATAATTTATTGGAGTTGTGTGGGTTAACCGTCCTATTCAGTGCTACAGTAGTACGGCTCCCAGGCACTTGGGCTGGTTTAGCTGGTTAAAAGCTAGTTACTACCATGAATGTTGCTGTACCCATGGTCTGAGATATACCATGAAATACCTTATATTAATGTAGTGGATCCTTTTACCCAAAATGATGTAGTGTTAAAAGAAGGGTCAGTTTAAGGGCCCAATGGTGAAATTACTCTGCTGACCTTGGGATTCGAACCAACGACCTTCTGTTCACTGAGCCGCACACCATGCCCAATAAGCGTCATAACGTGTTCTGCATGTCCACGTTAGATGTGGGGGGGGGGTCAGTTTAAAGGTGGAACGCACGCGGTCCCCAGATGGACCTATTGCGCTGAGCCGTGGATCAAGGCCCCCCCAGGGAGGCTCCAGGCCCCACTCGCTAATTACCCGGAGGCTCCTGGGGCCACGTCCCGCAGTCTTGTCTTGCTAATCGGCAGTGCAGGCGGCTTGACGCCCCGTACCTGGGGTGCTGGGGGTTTGCAGGACTGTGAAGACGTGAGCCCTGCTAGTGGCTCGTTCTCCTCTCGGCCCGAATCCCCCCCCCCCCGAGGGGCTTCCCGGTCTTCAAGGAGCGTCTTTTAAGACAAATCTAAACAAAGCCCCCGCCCTTAGGAGCAGCACCTTTTTCCTTTGTTTCCGCTGCTGTGTTTTTGTTCTTCGGCGGCTGAAGCCGCCGCTGGCGTTCGCTGCCCCCCCCCCGCAGCCTGGGGGCTGATTTCCTTCACTGCTTAATGGCCTTTCCACATTGTCTCCTGTATCTCTTGTCCCTTTTCTCCTCTCAAGCCTTCCCCCCCCCCTGCCCCCCGCCGTTCCTCCAATGATGTGGAAAACAAGGTGACCTCAGACTCTGCAGTGGGGCCCCTACCTGCTCCCCCCCGCCCCCCGCCTGGCTCTCTGAACAGTCACAGTCTTAACAAGGCGCGCTGGGTCATGGCCAAACTGGAGTGCTGCCCTTTAATGACCCCGTCCAAGCTCGCCCCTCCCTGGCCTTCCCATAATCCCCTGCAGCATCCACTTTCCATGTCTTTGCTGCATGTGCGTTTTGAAGCCGCTCACCCTGGGGTTGTGGATACTGGGCCAGTTTTATTGCTGTTGTGTTGTTTGTCTACATATTTCTCCCCTCCCCAGATACCTCCTCCTGTCCCACATTCTGCCCTCCCTCCCGTCTCTCTGCCAAGACTCTCTCGCTAATCTCTCGCACCTTCTCCTTTTTCACCCTCTCTCTCTCCGTCTCCAGTGCAGTTTGACGGGGGCGACTGGGAGCGGCCCTCGCTGCAGGCAGAACGCCCCCGGCCCCCCAGGCACGGCACAGCACTCGGGGGGGACCCCAAGTACCGCAAGAATCCCCCGGTGCCTCTGGGCGAGCGAGTGGACCCTACCTTGCCGTTGGAGAAGCAAATGTATGTGATCGTCACCCCCCCCCCTCGCCACATGATGAGTGGATTCTGAGGCTGACTGATGAATGTCGAACCCCCCCCCCAGATGGTACCATGGAGCCCTGAGTCGCTCTGAGGCCGAGGCCCTCCTCACTCTGTGCAAGGAGTGCAGCTACCTGGTTAGGAACAGTCAGACGAGCCGCTTGGATTATTCGCTCTCCCTCAGGTATGTTCTGCCCCCCCCCTCCTTCCCCCCTTCTCTCGGCACTGTTGTGAGGACATGAAGGCGAAGCATATGTTTGAAGGTTAAACGTCAAGGGCCAGTGTGTGGTTTAGCGGGTTTTGGATTCTGTGCCTGTAATCAGAAGGTTGTCAGTTCGAATCCCCGAGTCGTCTCGTTGATTTTACATTTGGGCCCTTGGGCGACGCCCTTAATTGCTCCAAGGACTGCTCAACCCCGTCTTCTTAAAAATGTTCGTCACTTTCGGATAATATAGTAAATGTACAAAAAGATGTTAAATGATGTAAACGTTGCTCTCCGAGGTCCTCGTACCGCCTGCTCTTGCGGCTGCCTTGTCCACTGTCCCCTGCTGGTACTGTCAGTATGGGTTCACGGCTCCCCTGTGCATCGGTGACCTTTCTGTGATGCGGCCCTCCTCAACTGCCAAGACAAATACTGGCCAGCCCTGTCGCCGAGCCGTGGTGCCCCGTGTCACCTGTGGATAAAAAGGAAAGGAATGCTGGGAGTGTCAGCGTCCCAATCCCCCCGCAAATGGCCCGGGGCCGGCCTGCAGTGTCGCGCCCTGAGGCCTAATCGGCACCGAGGACACAATCATGGCAGTCCGTTCACCCAAGTGAATTTTCCACCAATTTGTCTGACCCATTTTCCTCTAACCTATTTCTTACGTAGCCTTTTTGTCATTTGTGTGGGGGTGCGGGAGGGGGATTGAGCCCCACGCGTAATGGCCGAGGCATATCAAAGGCACGCTTGGTCTGCGTTTTACCCACCACCCAACAAAAGGTGGTGGAAAATCTTTGTGGCCGCACCATTGGCTGCCTTTGTCTGCTGCCAATGAGTTCTCGAAGGTGTGCTGCGTTTCACGTGTCGGGGGGGGGACACACGGTAGAGACGGGCTCTGTTCGCCGTAATGACTGACTGCAGCCGGCCAATTAGAGTCCTATTCTCTCACTCGCTATAATTAGAACAACAGCTGGGCAGCGATCACTTAAAGGGGAAGTGCACACCCATCCGGCTGCAGGCGCGCTTCATCACTTTCCCTCACTGTTGTTTGCTGTTTTGTTTGGCCTCTCGCTGTGCTTTCGTTTAATTCTTCTGCTTTCGGCTGTTACCCCCTCTTTCTGTTTCTGTGCTGATAGAACGTCCGCGCGCGTGCCTTAACGTTGTGGCCGGTTCCGTGATACAGGGCTACTCGCTGAGTGAATGACAGTTCTGTAGCTGTCGTCGGTGATGAGATGCCCTTATCCATTTCCGTCGCTGCCTTGTTTAAATTCTGTGCCGGCTGTCCTCACCCCTTCCCTTCGCTCTTTCTGCGATCGCGTGACCTTAGCAATGCAAACGGAGCCTGGAGCTCTGTCCAAAAGCTGGGACTCATTCCTGCTTAATTTCCATTTCCATCCGTCGTGCATGTTAATGCGAGTGAGCCGTATGTTATATGTACATAGGCAGGTCATTGTGTGATGTTTGCCTCTGTGTGTCTGTGTGGGTTTGTATTTATCACATTGTGGGGACCAGATGTCCCCACGATGTAGTGAAACCAGTTACGTTTTAGCTTGTGTGTCTCCACAATATACACCACAATTTAATAAAAATCTGTTAATCCAGTAAAAAACTAAAAAAGCCAATAGGCTTGAATTTGTCTTCTATTGTAGGGGTATTGATAGGAATATATGAACTCTGTGTGTGTGTGTGTGTGTGTGTGTGTGTGTGTGCGTGTGCCTGTTTGTTGGGCTGTCTCTCTGTATCTGAATTGACTGCTAACGGCTTCTTTGTAACATCCACACCCTGTATCTGTGCAGAACCGAGCCCCGAGTTTGACAAGACAGGGCTGCGCTTTTCAGTCATGTGTATGAATGTGTCTGAGAGTCTCCATGTATTTTTAATAAACCCCGAGCATGATTCCAGGTGGCTATCGGTGCACTTCTGCTGAGAGAGGCACAAGGCTGCAAGTGTGAGAGCTGGAGGAATGTGTGTTATTAAAACAGGGGTCTAAAGGTCAGTCTCTGCTTTGTTTCATTCTGTAGGAGCTGCCAAGGATTTATGCACATGAAATTCACTTTGTCCAAGGAGGGCAAGTACATTCTGGGTCAGAACAGCCCACCCTTCAACACCATCCCGGAGGTGATCCACTACTACACCACCCATAAGCTGCCCATCCGCGGAGCTGAGCACCTCTCCCTCCTCTTCCCCGTCATGGTGCAGACCCTCTGACCGCTTCAGGGTGCTGGGCGCCAGCTGTGTCTGCTCACGGGAATTTTACTTGCATGAAAATGTTTTGCGGGCAGAATGAAAAATGACTGGTTCAGAGAGATAACCAATCAGATTGTAGAGGGGGTGGGTCCAAGCAGCTAGAGGAGGCAGGACCAACCAATCAGATGTCTTGGTCCTTCCTCTTCTAGTTCTAGCTGCTTGTTCCCACCTCCTCTACAAACTGATTCAGAACATCTTTCTGTAAGTAAAACTCCCATGAGTGATGTGATTGGCATTCAGGATGGGCTGTAACCATTACAGATTTTTATGATTTTTTTTATTCATGGATAAGGCAGGGAGAGTAACCTCCCTCCTTGTTCTGAGTGCCAAAGTCCGGTGGATCTTTGATGTCATATCATAGCGGGCTGTGAAGTGATTATCCAACATATAAACAAACACTGGACCTTGACCAGAGACTAGAGCCAAACCGCCTACTATTTTGCGGGCCTATTCCAGGTCAGCTCCCGGAGGCGGTCCCAAGAAGTTTATTGGGTCACGCAGACTCTGTTTCGACTGGGTGACTCTTTTTGTTTTTCTTTTTCACCTGACGTCAGATTGTCTGTTCGGTTTGACTTGCTGCTGCTGTCCAGCAAACCGTTTTCGTTTTTTGCCCACTGAGATTAATCAGCATAATCGCTTTGCTCCAGTCTTGTTGATCTTGTTGATCTTGTTGATCATACACACTGCATACGTTTTCTGTACCTTATGATGCCACGGATCCCACTACACAGAATGTCAAACTACACGCTTCCTGGTTTTGCCAAGCTCTTTGTCAATTTCCTGTCCATCATTCGGTCAGGATTTTGTCCTGCCAGATGAACATTGCTGTGTTTTAATTTCCAGTTTGCAAACATTTCTCCCCAGTTCAGTGTTTCACAGTTTAATATTAAATGTCATTCATCATTGTCATTTATAATAACAATGATACTGATAATAGTGAATAGATTTAAGTTATTTGTTGGTACTTAATCTGGACTAAGTGATTAATATAACCTTTCTTACCAGTATTATGTCCTTTTTCTGACAGCAGCAAACGACTGTATTAAAGTAATTCTGTTACTGTAACTGCATTGTTGTCTTCAGTGGCGTCTGTTAGCGGCTTGACTCAGCTGTGACATTGTGCGCAAGCTACACAGGGCAGAAACGTTGTTGTATTGGCAGCCAAAAGTGATTCGCTTAAGTACAATTCTACACACATTTCAACAGTACAAATCTGAAAACTTTAAAATTTTTCAAAAACATGTTTTCTGAAGTGCCCTGGGCGAACCCACGCAAGGCAAAAAAATGTACAAACTCAACTTGACGGCAGGTAACAGGACCACGCCTGGTTGCCACGGCAGCAGGACACGGGGCCAAACCAAGCAGTGTGTGCTCGATGGGTGGGTCTCTCAAAAAACTTCCTCTTCATCAAAGGCAATGGGTTTTACTGTTGAGGCATTAAACGGCGTCTTGATGGGACTTTGTGTGAGCTGTGCCCTTAGCGCCGTGGCGGACTTTGTCCTGGGGGGATGTGACACGAGCAGGTTTATTGTTGCGCTGATAATGAAAAACGGTGAAACTTTGCCGGAGAAAGCTTGGTGTATGTGTGGGTGAGACGACTGATGTGTCAACTGCTAAAAGGGTGTATTTGGGAGTTAAGTAGGACTATACTGTGCTTAACGCACAAACTTCAAATGTCATCGATGTCGACTGTGAAGACGGCCTTGACCCTGTCCTCCTGGAGCGCCTCCTGGACGCTAAAGAGGCCATGGGGCTTCACACATTGCAGACACAATCCCAGCACCCCACCTCAAATAAATATTCCATTTGCCTTTATCCCTCATTCCACTACTGCCTAATTCTGCCCAGGAAATCCCTCAAAGCCCTACTGTGAGTGTTACATCATTAAAGCAGCTCGCAGTTTCTGTTTCCGTTTCCACAGCGACTCCGCTGCTTGTAAGTCATGTGACCAGCTGGCTGGGAGGGGTCCTTGGCACAATATCAGGGGTTTGTCAGCATTATTCCTGCATCAGTCATTAGGGAGTCGCCGGCCCCATGTACCAGGCCCTCTTTGCTGCATGACCCTTGACCCTTCCACCTCCTGTGATGCTTATTATGGGCTGGATTTTCAGTGCCTCTATTTGGCAAACATTATCTAATGATTTGAGTTTTTTATAGCTTTAAGCTTATTTTGTTTGGTAACCCTGTCATCTATAAAGCATTATAATGGTTGTTATTAGAATTTATAAAGCATTACAACATCTTCTATTGACAGTCATAATGCATTATAGTGTTGATTATAATACTTCATAAGCTCCAACGAAGCTCTCATTTATTATGCACAAGAAATACCTTCATAATGCATTATGGTTGGTATAAGAATTAATAAAGCATTACAGCATCTTCTACTGACAGTCATAAGGCAGTATAGTGTTGATTATAATACTTAATAAGCTCTAATGACACTGTTACCTATAATGCACCATAGATACCTTCATAATGCATTATAATGGTTGCTATAAAAATGAAGGACACTTTGTATAGCATTATGCAGGAATCTATACTGCATTACAGATGAGCTCTTCATAAAGCATTCATAATGCATAAGAGACATGGCTATCATGTCTTTTTATAAATATTTATAAATTGTTAATAATGCTTTATGAATGCATTATAATGTGTTATGAATGTGTTCATAGATTCTTCTGGAAAGTGTTATAAGTTTATCTTTATACTTTCGGGCAAATGCAGAATTTCATTGAAGAAAAAGTTAAAGTTTTTTGTTCAAAGGTTCAACAACTGGCTTCATCTGGCAGCCTTTCAGGTTCGTAACCGCTGTCCCATCTGCTGCTGGGAATGCCTCCAGTCTGGCCCAGTTGCTTGATCACCCTCAGTAACCCAGCCTAATGGGCATTAATGCCTGGGAGGCAGGAGCATGGAACCCAAACGCCAAAACGCCGTCACCTTCTCGCATGTTTCCAACTGTACGTCTGTGTATCATAAATGTAAGTCAGCAGTGGAGGAACAGGAAGGCTTTTCTGGGCATGAGGACACTGCTGGCTAGGAGGCCCAGCTGAGGGCCACAACCTCCATAAATTTAGCCCCATTAGTTCCCATAAAACCACGACACCAGCTTCATCCTACTACTTCTACAGAAATACTCCCTCTCAAGGTGCATGTGCTTGCCCTGCTGCAGTGGTTTAACCTACATATCATAAAAATCCCTAAATGGTCACCCAAGGGTGTAACTTTGGGTTTAAACACTGGGGGGGGTTGAGGGCTCCACCCATTTAAGGGGGTCCAAGGGCATGCGTTGGCCAGTTTTGATTATTTGGGGGGTTGTCCCCCCCCCGTAATTTGCACCCATGTGATCACCTCTGGTGTTTATATGCTTACGTGCTGCTGCAGATTTAGCGCTTTCTTAGCCATGTGACTTTTGACCTTTGACCTGTGACGTAAGGCGCCAAAGCAAAAGCTCCACCAGCAAACTCCATTTATCTTCTGTTTATCTGCTCCAGAAGAAGCGTATCAGCTGGGATGTGGGCAGGTGCCGGCGGGGGCCTGTGACAGTTGGTTACCTTTTTATTTTTTTCTTGTGGCAGCAGATAAGACAACCGACCTGAAAGTCGCGTGAAGGACAAAGACATTGGCCCTCACCCATGCTGGAGAAGCGCTCCGGTCGGCTCTGCCGGCCCAGATGCCGTCCTGCAAGGCGTGTGGCCCCGTGCCCGGCGCTCGCCGTCACGCCTGAGATGCAGTCCAAGTCTCACGCCTGACGCTAATGGAAAAGTCTTGTTCGTAGCTCGTGCTCGCTGCTCCCCGGTGTGCTGGCATTTCGCGGCCAGCACCTGCCCTCGTCTCAGAGGCTGCAGACAGGACGGAATACCAAACGCCCGCCCTGAACCTGACAGGAATGCTTTCCGAGGTGTGGCGTTTGACCCTCCGTTTAACCAAACACATCGATTCCAAGAATGCGTGTCAATTATGACGCATATTTCAATATTAAAATTTTTGTGTGACTTAATATTTCATAGTCAAGGTAATGGAAGACCATGACAAATCTGTTTTTCTGTGGAATGGACAGCGTTGACCTTTAAAGCAGACATGCCCCCCCCCCCCCCCCCACCTTCTTCCATTGAATAAATTGCTTATCCCAATTTCGCTTTTCTTCCAGCCGACGACAGTGTCCAAATGCTGTCAGGAGGACAGCTAAGGGTCCCCCTCTGAAATGTCATCTTGTCAGCGGTAATAAAAGGTACCGAAGTACCACGATTCCATCTGCCCTTTTCCCAAACTTTCTACTTGGGTGTGACGTTCAGGATGACTGACTTTCGCCGCCGTCTTCCTTCGAGCGTTAACAGCATGCGGGGAAATGAGATTTGAGGTCACAACCTAGACCCTGGGGACAGAGAAGAGGCAGTGACCTCATCATTTGCCAGTGCTATATGAGTCACATGAAAGGCTGCAGGCTGGTTATAACTTTCTGTATGTCTCAGCAGTCTTGGTCCTCAAATAGAATGAATGGCCTTTAGTTGGGCTTTACTCACTGCAATTTATTCAGAGAGTATATGTCAAACAAAGACCTTGGTTTAATACTTAATTTTTCTTGAACTGTGTATGACTCATTGGATTGGCGCCATATCTGTGGTGTATCCTGCCCTGCCCAGGATAGGAAGCCGGAAGATGGCTGAATTATTTATTCTGCATGGTGATTTATTTTACAGCTCTTCTCAAGAACATCACAGCAAACTCTCATAACACTGCTGGACATGGCAGTAATAATTGTCGTTAGTGGGTTAAAAAGTGACTGATGATTCCATCACTTGTCATCAGGTGGTATTATGAATATTATTAATATTATATTATAATATCACATTAATATTATGATATTACATACATTTCTCCAAGGCCAAACTGATGCACAAACTAACCTGAGCAGTAGCCCATGGCTCCGAGTTATAGGGGGTCGCAAAATTTATTCCTGCTTCTTACAGCAGTATTTATGCTGTGTGTAGGGTCCCAACCCCCCCAGAATTCACCCTGCATCCGTATTTCATTATCCATTACTGGGCTGAGGAGCCAATCCTGAGAGGCACGGGTCACGAGGCCAGGGGTCCTCAAGGTGGGTCCCATCCCCTCACTGGACACACGCACAGTGTGTACAGTCTAGAGGTGCTGTCTCACCCAACCGCACCAATGAACCGGAGCAGGCAGAGCAAGACACAGGAAGAGCCCCTGAGTAGTGAAGTCACAGTGCATTAAGTGCACCTTCATAATGCATTCATTATGCATTCATAGAACATTCAGTGCATCTTCATAATGCATTCATAATACATTCATAGAACATTCATAAGCAGCATGCAAGTACACCTTAACATCCTAACATCCCTTAAAAGCTTTAATATACATTAATAACAAACATTACATGATTATACAATTATAATGTTTGTTATTATTATATGATGTTTGTTTTTAATGTATATTACAGCTGTTAAGGGATGTTAGGATGTTAAGGTATACATGCATGATGTTTATGAATGTTTTATGAATACTCAATGAATACATTATGAAGTTGTACTGAATGTTTTATGAATGCAATATAAAAGCATTATGAAGGTGCAGTTATTGTAAAGCATTACTAAATAACTAATCTGTAATATTTCATTGCAAAATTCAACTTTTCCTTTTAAATGATCTTTAAAAGAAGGCTGTAAGTGTCCATCGGTTGCACGTTCGCTTATGATGCCACAGTAGAATGAAAGTAAGACCTGAACAAGCTCCAGGTCTCCTGGTGAGTCTCTTGTCGCCTCCCGTCACCTCATTTGCACAGTTTGTCCTGGTTAATGACGTATTAAAGGCTGCTTTCCTGCATCTGCCTCTGCAGGTCAGGACTCCGTGCCTGCGATCGGAAGGTCGCCACTCCAAATCCCATCTCTAGTGGGGTGACAACAGCAATGGGACCCTTGAGCGAGGCCCCTTAGCGTTGGCTGCTGCACAGACATGGGCGGAGCCAGTTCTCTGATCCTCGCAAGTATGTTGCTTTGGATCAAAGTCTACACGCTGCTATAAATGGTCAACGCTACATGTCAGGGCATTGCTGCAATAGTGAACTCCGCTGCTGCACTTTATTACTGCGGATTTGCACCCACATGCCGCTGCTTCTGCATGTCAGAGCGCTGACTTCACACAGACCTCAATCGTTTCTTCTAGACACAAGCTGGTCACTTCATATTCATAGTTGGAGATATTCACCTAATGTTACTTTTAATCCTAATGTTTGTTTGTTTGCCTGTTTATTCATTTGTTTGTTTGTTTATCGTTTTATTCATTGTATTATTGTTTTGGATTCATTTCGTTCCCTTTATGTACAGTATCAACGTACAAGGCAATAGAAGAAGATATCCTCTTGATGAATAATAACTGTGATTTACTTCTTCACATATAAGCAAATGTCGACCATCTATAGTCAAAGTTATAACCACTCGTCAAAGTTATGGATCTGGGTCTATGCATTGTTGTGAGCCAGTGTGATGCAGTAAGTCAAATCTCTCACTTTAACCTATGTAAAGTCACAAAATGGATGTTCTCTTTTAATAAAAATGTAAAAGCCGTGCATGATATGTGGTTTTCCCCTCTGTAATACTACACAACCACAACTAACATTTTAAATGTTAACAATCTGCAAGCAAAGACAAATATGCTCGTTGATAATATCTTAGATATGTGTTTGCTTTATGAAACTACTCGGCCACAAAATGGAATGCAGCGATATGAAGTAGAAATAAATTGGTGGTAACTGGATGAGTTTTTCAATCAAGGAAACAAACCAGTCACAGCACAAGAGAATATAAAGATCCCAGTGTGATACAGTAAGCCAAATCCCTCACTTTAACCTATGTACATGTTACGAAATGAATATATTCTTTTAATAAAAATGTCAAAGCTGTGTGCGATATGTGGTTTCCCTCTTTGTACTGCTGCAGGCCACAAGGAACTTTTTAAATGTTAATCTGCAAGCAAAGATAAATATGCTATTTAATAATGTATTTGCTTTGTTAAACCAATGTACACGCTATACTGTACCGCAAAATGTAGCGTAACGATATGAAGTCAAACTATAGGCTTAAATTGAAGTAAACTGGAAGTAAATGACCAAATAGCCCTGACAGGTAAAATCAGTTATAGGAGGAAGAGTCGACAGTATCACTGTAGTGGGAGAAATTAATCATTGAAAGTTTACGCCCTGAAAGCAGGATTGGACTTGCGTTCTTCTCGTCCCTCCCATAGGTCCGCTAGTAGAAAGTAAAGTTCCAGAAATATGCAGTAGTTGGACAATTTAATGAAACACCAGGTTTTACACCACAATCATTTATTAATATGGTGTATGGCCTCCTTTTGCAGCCAATACAGCATCAATTTGTCCTGGGAATAACAGATACGAGTCCCGGTCAGCGACCGGAAGGATTCTGCTGTGGATTCAGCAGCTGTGGTTTTATGTTTCTTGGATACAATCCGGGTTAGTACCCGAACATCCCTATCGGACAGCTTCCTCTTGCATCCACAGTTACTCCTGATGGATGTGGTCCATCCACCGTGGTGATATGCTGACATTAGCCTGGATACCGCAGCTCTCAACACACCACAAAGACTTGCCATTCTGGTCACAGATGCACCAGTGAGACATGCACCAACAATTTCTCCTCTTTTGAGCTCTGGTATGTCTCCCATTATGTTGCATGGATTGCAGTATTTTATGCAAAGCTGTGCTATTGCTTTGTTAATTTAACCTTCACTTTACACTCTGCTCTTACTGGTGGAACGTGCAGTCAGTGAAGATCGACCACCAGGTCGCGCGCATATAAGCGTGTTTCAGTTTCATTGTCCAACCCCAGTAAGTGATCCGTTACCTAATGCACTCCTCGTTCTCTAAAATAGTCTGTGCTTCCTACCAACCATAAGCCTGCGGTATTACATGAAGGACCCCGGACGGCGTGTGGAACATAGTGTCATATGTATCTACATTAGTCACGGGATGAATGGCACACCATTCACGAGACACAGACCAGAGGAAAATCAATGGTAACAGATGCGAAATAGCCTGTGGCTTTTATGTCAAGGGAAATTAACTGCTGGGCAAGTGGTATACTAGAACTGCGTTCTAAGTGTGCCGACTGAAAATGAGAGGATATTTGAATATTGAAAAAGAACTTAATAGTGGGTTCGAGATAAAGTTATAGTAAACAGGTGTTTTTGCCAAATCTCACGCATCGCGCGTGACGCTGACGCTGTCAGACTCACGCAAGAAATCAATATTATTTCATTATAAACCTAAAATTAGCTACATCAAAATCGTTCGGGTTAGTTTACAAACCCTACAGACTTTACAAGGTAATAAAAATTGTACATACATGTAAGAGTCTTACATGCGTAAATGCGTGGGCAGACAGGTCTCGAATTGAAAATCCAAAATGTAAAACTGTGCAGTGTTCTGGTGAAAGATGTCACGTTTCTTTTCCTGGTCGGCTTTTCCAAATGATCCAACATGACAAAAATGGAAATAAACGCGAAACGTTTAAATTCATAATACATGCCATTCAGCATGGGGAGATTCCCAACAGGTAGACTAAATTAAGATTGGCTCGCAGTTGAAATTAGTCCATAACACCAATATTGCAATTTCGACTAAATATTAGGCAGCATCTGTAATAAATATGTTATTAGTATTATTGCTAGTATTATCATGCGGATACACATCGTGAGACATATAACCGGGAGCCGTACGACCACCACTTTGCAGCGAGGAGCAAGTAGCGTCATACAGCCTAGTTTTCTCCAAATATTTGACGTCTGACTCTGCTGAATTTGTGTGATTTCTGAAAAAGAGTTTAACATTTAATGACTTGCAAAAACTGCCCCCGAAAATGCAACATTACAAACCAAGCGTGGGGGGGGGGGGGGGGAATCCCAATCCGACTTCTATGTTTTGCAAGAACAATGGCTCCTCCTCATGGATCAATGGGTATATAGCGTTTGTTCGCAGAAAATTAAAACGTGTTACCGAACCTATTGTAAATTACACAGGAGAAACAGGCAACTGTAGAAATAAATACAGTAAGATAATTACTATACGTTTACTTTATTAAGAATGGTATTAGGAATTAATAATGATGCTCAGTTCTTGATCTTTCAACAGAATTGTACAAATTTTATTGTTTAACAATAGAAAGAAAGACACTGAAAATAATGAATACGATTAGAAGTATTGTTTTTCACATAGTTATATCAGTTATGGAATCAGATGGTAACGTATATTTAAGCAGCATCGATATTTCAAACATACAATCCGTGGTTGTCCCAGAATGGTCTCGGTTCTTAATGGGTGAGCCCAGATCATCATGGGAGCATCTTAACCCTTTGTTCACAAGGACGTCACGTGGGCAGCTGATGCCGACTAGCGATTTTATGACTGCTACAGGCATCTATCATGCGTCGCATGTAAAGGCTGAACAGGCGATACAGTGTGTGCTGTACATATTTTGCAACAGGACTGGAGCTGAGAACCGCTGTTTTATTATTGGCTGATTGAGAGGTCATGCACCCCAGGGGAGTTTGTAGCTATTGAAAAGATCAGGGACCTACTGAGATCCACACCGGCTCTCCGTGAATCAGGTCCCCTTCCCCTGACATAAATGTTACAGAAAATGCAAAAGATAAGAAACTTGGTCAACTTCCTATAATCCCTTCCTTGACTCTAATGGCAGAACTGATGTCCCTGAGGACCCCATGCCAGCATCCTCTTCTTCTCTTTGCACCCAGATGATTTGCATCCTGAGACCCCTGAGCTGCCGCCGCGGGAGTGCAGCCCGGAAATCATGCGCCTCATCTGGCCACACTGGTGCCTCGATACGGGATACAAGATACATCTTATCACAGTACAAGTACAATGAGATGTCATCTGGATCAATCTTGTTGAGGCCTTAATAAAAACTATACAAGCTAAAAAATAATAACAATAATATAAAAATAGCATATAGCAATGTCTAAATACAACACACAGCGTATTCAGTTGAAAGTGCCTGAGGAAGGCATTATCTGAGAGCTGCTGCAAGATAATGATTATGATCAACAGTATTTCATTATATAAAACACAATTGTGCTGGGATGAATGTGATACAGTCGACGGGGGGGATTGTGTGATGATTAGGAGCCAGGAGAGTAAAAGTGCATATTCTGTGTGTGTAGTGCAAGGTGTGTGTAGGGTGGATAAGTCTCAGTTCAGATCAGTTCAGCCTTCCCCCTGGGGGGGAATACAGTTCAAGAAGTAGGAGCAAATCGTCAGGTGTAGACATTTGTTGTCACTCACCAGCTCATGAACCCACCATCTGCATCTCTTTGAATCTGTGATCGTTTGTTTTGCCTTATAGCACAGCCCCCTTTTGGTCTCAGTCTCAAAGGGTCCCCAGGCATTAGTATGCGAGACTGTGTGGTACAGACAACAAGGGTGGTGAACACGCCGCTTGGTCATGAGGTCTAGATCGGTCGGATGGACCGCACCTCCTCGGCCCCCACACTTTGCTGCAGTATTCCTGGTACTGGTGTTGGGCCAGCGCTGATCACAAAACCTGCTGATACCTGTAGCTGGATGTTTACTGGAAGCTCCGCCTAGCTTCACTTATGCCTAGTTGACTCATCAACAGTGTGAATGTTTGCAATATGCTATTTGCATCACTGTAAGTTGCTTTTATGCAAAAGCATCTGCTAAATATGTGAATGTACATGTTATACGATGCATCCTCCCTAGACATACATTCTCATCCCTGCCTCTAAATTTCCAATCTATTAAATTGACCAACTCCAGACCGTAACACTGTCTTCCTCATTGCAGAAACCAAGCTCTCATACTCATCCTTCTGGTTATTAAAACTGTCTTGTGATTGAACGTGAGGAAGCATGGCCGTACGTTACACACGACTCCCAGCATCACGACTTACACGATGGGTTTGTTTTTCTACACGTTTGCAGATCAGGGATCTTTTACTACAGGAAATTAGTGCCTTGGGATATTCTGGTCTTGGTGCTGAAGTGGAACCAGGAGATGGTACTTAGCAGAATAATTTCAGTGTAGAGTGCACCCGAGACATATAACCGACTGAGCAACAAGCAATATTACATTAGACAGGAAACAACATTATCTAGATAGTTAGCAATCAGCTTTGCATCGGGACGGAAATCTGAGGTTACCCAATATCACAGGCAGGGTGTGAAATCTCACTGGGACAGCAAGCAGTCAGGACCCCCGAAGGGAAGGGGTGAGGCCCAGAGACCATAAGCTGAGGTCCTGCTCCAAATAGTGTATATTTCCAGAAAGGAGACAGATGCATGCTTAGGACTAACCCCCCTCATACCCAATCAGGAGATTTAATACACCCCACAATTTTATATCATATTTACGTTATTTACTGCCCTTTGTATACCATAACGATAGACTTTATTAAATGTGATGCAAAATTATGGCTGTATCATCTTTATGACTTCAAATGATAAAGCTAGGTGATTAAAACTGTATTCAAAAAAGCTCAACGACCATATATCGCTAAAGAGACCATTTGTATTAGCAGGAGACAAGGAAAATCATTAATGAGGGTATGTGAAAGATTGCTAGCAGACCAAAATGCTTTGTGTCCCCGACTGAAAGAGTTTTCTAAGGGGAGGAATAAAAACCTCGTGCAAGAGGAGCCAGCGGTATTGATCAGTAAATATGATAACTGGGCCCAATGATTTCCTCTACTTGATTTAGCAGCATATGCATCGCTTCCTATTTGCATCGCCCATTTTTGAAAGAAAAAAAAGTTTGTTTCTGTATTTTCGAAAGACTAAAAGAATAAAGTTGGCAAAAGTTCCACTTGGGGTGATTAATTAAAATTCTACTCTTACAACTGCTTATGCTAGTCAGGGTAATAAGAACACGCTGACAACACGCTAACAAACAATTAAGTACAATGGATATAACTAAAATCTATAGGCCAATATAAAAAGCCCACGCTGGCGGTCGGCCCACGTTGCTATGGTACCGGGTTTAGCGTCTATGTGACACACGGACCAGGTAGGATATGTACATGTATTTGCATTTCTCAAAACAATTAAAATACATATAATTGCAAGTTTAAGTGCTTATTAAGAATAATTAGTTAACTTGTCGATTTGCCATTCCGAATATGTTAAATGATACTGATACAGCGATAATATTTTGAAATAAGATACGACCGATTGTCGTTCCACAGATAAATAAAACAGAGTTAAAGACTTAGACCGTGGCATGCAGTGAAGAGTCGGCTATGTCGGCGCGAATGGATCAGCTCGCCCAGCCGAAGCCGAACCGGCTGAAATACCCAGACAGGTGCAGTATCACGCCGCGCCGCCTCAGGGACACCCCGCTCACTGATCGGTGCTATAATTAAGGTACATTTCAACAGCGATTACAAAAGCAGTCTCTCTGTGACATCACGACATTCATCACAGCTACGCTGCAGTTTCCTTAATTTAAATTTTTCATAATTTGTTTATGTGGCCCGCATACTCGGAATAAATCAGCTTCCCGGGTTTTGTGTTACTCGTGTTCTCGCTGGGGGCTAACTTCTGTCTCTATTCACTGGTGAAGGAGATCGGTATACTGGCTAGATGAACTTCCCTTGGCATCAAAGGGTTCAACAACCACCTTCGGTAAATAAAATCTCTCTCTGCTTTCCATCTGTGCTCATAGGCATGTAAATCACTTTTGTATTGCTTGTATTCGGACGACGGCTCTCCGCTATACGAAACCTGGTTAAGATTCACTGCCATTTTAGTTCTTTCTAAAAATATTTTTTATACTTACGGCAATAAACTATTATTCATGCACGAATTTTTAACGTGTGTCCAGACCTGACACCACGCTGGGCCCGGCTGGCCCTTAAGAAGCTGGTCCACCCCAGTTTCCAGGAGAACAGGTGAAATGATATTCTGTTGTATCTCCTGCTTTATTCTTTCCTGAACACCTCCGTGAGAAATATGTATTTTCAGGTGTATGTTAATAATAGGTTATCTGCCATGCTTTTGTGCCTGTTCACTTTAATAGTTGATGCACATTTCACGTATAATGGGTGTTTTTTTTTCTTGTGAGTGAAATGTGCCTCTCAACACGTCACAATACAAGAAGCTTTAGGGCAACAGCCTTTTTGTCCACACTCGCCCGGCTGTTATAATTTTATCGAATTTCACCTGGGGTAAAACCGATGTCTCGTGTGTAGCTACTGGTCCATTCTTTGCAGGCGGTCTCCGGCATGGCAGGTGACGGCCGCAACCCTGCAGGCTTCCCCCTCGGAGAGGGTGTGCCACCTGGCTATACCCCGCCCGCCCACTGTGGGCTGGCAACCAGATCGCCCCCTGTTGGCCACAGTGAGTATTGACTGTGCTTTCATTTGGCTGATGGCTTGATCACCTGTGCAGCTTAAGCTACTTCATGTTTTCACATTGTTTGCTGTTTTCTTTTACTTCCTTTATGTTGTTACAATATTGTTTGTTCCAAGTTAATAACTCGGTGAAAGAAAATTCAATGTTTTATGGGTTTACCATCCACTGTCATTGGCTACCTGCATTAATCCAATACAAATCACCAAAGCTACCCATGAACGACAGCTAAACCATACGATGTATGGATGTATTGCATACATATTAGTAAAACTCCTACATGTTTTATTAAAAAGCCAGATGGGCCAGATTGTGTAAGTGTTGCCAGACCTGCAGAAAGGGAGAGTGAAGATTATTGCAGTCTTTGTTGTCAGTAGCAGGTGAGTAAGTCTATGCGAACAGCTGCTCCCAGCCCCCGAATCTGCCAGTTATCCCAACCTAGGAGAGCGGCGGTCCTGCTCCCCGATGATGAACACAAACCATCTGCCAGAGGGCTGCGTCTCACCAAAACGTCCCCCCGAATACACCTGCTGGCCAGTGAGTGGCTATGAATTATCAGTATTAATCACAGTCGCTGTTATCACGACAGCAGGTCCTGGGTTGGTTTCACAGATGATGCTGCATTTCGCTTAAAGTATGCGGCTCAGAAGGAGGATGTGTTTATTATGAACCTGCTGAGAAAAAAATTGATCTCTTGGCTGAAGATAAGTTCTGATGAATGGAAGCATAAATGTATAAAGATGAATGGAAGAAAACTTTAAAAATGTGTGTCTGTGGCCCCACCTGTCTCCATCTATCCTTGGACTCCCTCACCCCCCCCCCCCCCCCCCCCCCGAAAACTGGACCCCCTTCAGTCCCAAAGTCTGACCACCCCGAGCACCAGCAGGATCGGCCTGTGCTGTGGGCGGTCCCAAAGTCAGCTCTATGTGGGGCTCCCAGCGAGCGGATACAAGTGCTGGCCCAGCCCAAACAACGGAGGGCGCTGTTTGAAGGACATGACCCCTACCGCGTCAGTCCGGCCGCCCTCTATGGTACTGCCTCCCTGCGGCTCCTGCAGCTCAGCGCCCCGCTGCCACGCAAGTGCAAAAACAAGTAGCCAGTATCTCATCTGGGGCCAACGATCCAGCCAGATAATTCCTGTGTTTTTGCTCAGAATAAAGTCTGTGAAAGCCACTGTCGGCAAAGTCCGCTGCGTCCGAAAAAACCATGTGTGACGATGTGCACAAAACTGCTACTTTTAACACGCTTCCAAAGATGCTTGCATTGTGTGACAAACAGAATAAGCATTTACTGCTGGCTGTTCAGGAAGAAGTCATGCAAATTTAGGCTACTTATATATAAAAAAGCTCATGCACAAAATACACGGTAAATGTTTCTGTAGTCGCAGGCATTTGTGGTCTGTTTTTATCTCTGAATCATGGAAGCTACAAATGTTGCAGATTAAGTCTGTTTAACAGATTTTTATCACATGTAAACACTGTTTCATTACACTGCTTTTTGGAATGCTTTTTATTAATACTATGCGCATTTCTGGATTCAGATAACGCAGTACAGCGATTGCTTATAGTGTCAGTTAAGCGAGTCAAATTCTTGCAACCTCAAAAAAGTGTAAATTGTTACGGAGGTAAAAAATTACTTTAGGCGCATCAAAGTCATGTTCAACATATGAATATTTCTTAATAACCCTATAACTGAATCTGTACTGCCACGGTGCAGTAATAACTGCTCAGTGCTTCGATCGTTGTTTTCATATTAACACAGCTAGCTGGGGAATGCTAATCGAGCTATCTTCCTTTTATGAAGTCACCACTGGGATCTTGTACCTTGTGTTAATGCATAGTGATCGAGCGCGGTCTGTACGCTACTTGACGACGGGGCGACTAAGATTCTTATTTAGTCAGGGGTATTATCACAATAATTATGTAAAATGCAGCCGGACGTCTTTTGTTAAAACCAACATAATTTATAAGTCGCATTAAATGTTTATTGGCTTTTGGCTAATAACGTGCAGGTCTACGCGATATAGAAAACCCAAAACACCGACGTTATAGTCACAGCATCAGAGCTGACTGCATTTCTAACTCTCCGCCAGGGAAGTTTCTAGCTAAGTCAAGTTTACCTGGGGCTTGACTTTTTTATTTTTAAAAAATAAAAATACTCGAGTGATCGGACCCAACAATTGCCACGCTCTCTTCTTCCGATTCACCATAAATGCGAACAGGCGATCTTGCAAACTTAATCAGAGGAGTTAAAAGCGATTCAGATTGTGCGGAAAACTGCAGGGACCGCCTGCTCCTATCAGAACTAGCTCACCGTCGTCAGTTCGAGGGGTCTTGTCACATCATTTTCAAAGTACCGGGCAAATGCATCGTTTTAAGGTAATATACGTTTTCATTCCTGCAGAAAAATAATGTATTCTGTCGCTTTTTATATTACCGTACCTTAATCTTTCAAAGTCGTGTACATAGTCTTGTATTTTTCTTTTTTCTTTTTTTTCTTTTTTTTTACATCTTATCATGCATGGATAAGCAAGTTTTTTTAAAATTATTATTATTATTATTATTATTATTATTAAAGCTAATCACTTTTGTTACTCGCATAGAATTAAAATTCGCTATTTTTTTCCATAGAGCAGTCGAGTGTTGCATGCTGAATGACATCCGTTAATAACGCATGCCATAGATCGAAAGAATCTCTTGGAACTAATTTCTAAACTTTCAGGGGTGTTTTGAGACCACACCCCATCCAAAAAATGTACTGGAAATGGTTTTGACCACTTAACTCACCTTTTTCTTCTATTAATACAGGTGTTGACACTCAGTCATTGATAGAGACCAGACCTGCCGGTTTCTTTTCTACCTCCGCTGTTAACTGATGTATAACCGTAAGAGTATATATTACACATAAATTTATTACATGTGGACGGAAATGATGGAGATCAAATCAGTGGCATTTAATGTTGATGTAAATTTGAAATTTGATTTATTAAAAAAGTAAATGTGTGTTCAGCTTTAAATGTCTCACCTTCCCTTCATCTTGTCGGTGAAAGATTTTGTCGCGATGTCCCAAAAAGAGAAATGATTATTAGGTAACCTTATTTTTCGAGCTTTTGGTTTATTGGTATTTAATTTTGAGCACTTGCGGTGACTGGTCTTTAATTACACTGCACAACAATTAAGTTTTTGCTTCTTGGACGTTGTTGGGTGTTTCTTATAGATTTTTGGCCGCTGATCACGAAAATCACATCCGAATTTGTACAGTTTCATCGAAATCTTCGGGTTTGTCATGTATTTTCCTCATATTTGTGTCCAAAAAATTTTCACTTCTGTAAGAGACCTATCAACAATGTTTTTACAGTCTGAGAATGGAATCAGACCAGGCTGGAAGCTGTTCTGTGGAAGTTTGCAGCCTGGGCATGCCTGGACAGGCCGGAGCCAGCTTGACACTGTCTCAGCAGGCTATAAAAGTGGCTTGCATACACAGATGCTGCTCATTGGGTTAATATAGAACTGATAGTGTGTATGTATTGTTTCAGAATATAGCATTGCCTTAGTAGCAATGTAACAAGTAAGGTAGATGCTATAGACATTTGCAGGACGACTGGTGTCGGTCGATATGTCTCGTCAATGTCTTAACAGCCGCAATACATTCTGCTATGTTTGTTGCGAATGTGCGCTTGCGCCTCACATATGCTCAATGACTGCTCTCGTGAAGAAAGCATATCATCTGTACAGCTGTAAAATCAGTGATCAAGACAAGGAATGGGCGCCTCACATTTGTTGTGTGACATGTGCTGTCTGTCTGAGACCCTGCCTCAGAGGCACTCGAAAGACAATGTCGTTTGCTGTCCCGATGATATGGCAAGAACAGAAGGACTGTTACTTCTGTTTGACTAATGTGTCTGGTTTCTCTGACAAAAACAAGAAATCAACTAAATAGCCTAATCTGCCTTCAGCAATGAGACCCGTGCCACATGACCACGGTCTTCCAATTCCGAAAGCACCAGAGGAATGGACCCTAGACAAGCCAGATGATGAAACTGCAATGCAGGGACATTGATCCGGATTTTGAACCGTGCTCATCCGGTGATCCACATCTCATAACAGTTAGAATAAAACAATCTGGTCTGAGATTGGGGTCTGTCAAAAGCAAAAGCCAAATTGCGGGGTTCGAGACTGTTGGAATGGCATTTGATGTCACCAGGTACGAATATTTTTACTGACTTCTGTTTAACACGGCAGCGTGATGTATCTGACATTGAACGCAAATGAAAATCTAGAGCAAAACACTTTTAATTATGTTGAATTTAATAGCGTATGAGAAACATAAACGCGATTAAATACGTTATTGCTGGTAAAGAGTTAACTGTCTATTTCTCAGAGTTCCTATACGTGATGCAGCAAAACCGAAATTATATTTGTGCATACCCAACAGGTACCTGTGTCAATCAGCAAAAACTTTCCAGGAAGCAAAACATTAAAAAAAAAAATGTTGTGCAGTGTTTCCAGACGTGTAAGCCGGCCGGGGAAAATGCATTAATATTTATAGATTGACTATAATATATATAGGAACACCACTTTTTATTTCGGAAGCAGAAAAAAAAGTTGCCCAGTGTTATGGGGCGCAGTGGTTAGTCCTACTGCCTCACAGCAAGAAGATCCTGGGTTTGGTCCCGGGTCCTTTCTGTGTGGAACACGCTCTCCCCGTGTTCGCCGGGGGCTCTGGTTTCCTCCCACGGTCCAAACACATGCAGGGCAGGTTGATTGGCGAGGCTAAATTGGCCCTGTAATTGTTTGTGTGTGCGCGCGCGCGCCCCGGGGTGTGTTGGCAGCTGCCCAGGGTTGGTTCCCGCCTGCGCCCCTTGTTCCCGGGATAGCCTCCGCCCCCCCACAACCCCAGTTGGGATTCAGTGGTTATGGTGATGGATGGATGGTTTTTAATTAGAGTAAAATGTGAGTAATGAGAACGTTGTTACGTGGATTGTGGGTCATTATTTGACGGTGCCTTACAGGTGTCATGCTTGGAACTAGACACACGGAGGCGTGACTATGATGCATTGCATTGCGACTGGCTGCCTTGCTCTCACAGTGGGAGTTGCACTCATTGCAGGTGTAGTGGGGGCTGTGGTGACTGGGATAACAAATTGGTTATATGCAGGGATGTCATGGGGGGGGGGGCGTTAGGATGAGTCCGAGACCCTCTGAGTGACAGGGGCCCTTAAAAATTAGGCCATATTTCTTTTTTTTCCTCTATAAATATTTATTCATATAGTATGTAAATATAATATTTTCCCCTGTAATTATTGCAATAGTCTCCTGTGTTAAACTTATTCATTAATTTCAAGTTGGTCTAACGCGATCTCTGCTTGCCTCAATAGCCCTGCCCCCTCCCCCTCCAACCCTTCTAGACTGTGAGTTCCTGGAGCACAGCAATGCCACCTGCTGGTGGGACCATGGACCTGACAGCGCAATCCCGGGAATCTCATATATCCTGCAGATCAACGAGTAAGTCGGCGATCAACCGCCCTCCCACCCCGACCCCCTTCGACTGCACTCTGGTTACCGGAAAGTCCTTATGCACAATATTGATTGACAGGCCTCGCTAATGGAAAGCGCGTTCAGATGGCGGCAGTGACTGTTTTCTGGAGATGAACTGATACTGAGCTTCAGGCTGGACTTCACCTCCAGCACGCACCATGCCAGCACACTCACGCTGATTAAAAACGGTGCAGCTGTGCAGCAGCTATGAACGATAAAGCTCAGTGCAGGCGCGCCCGCTGAGCAGGTGCTAATTATCTCAGCCCACGCATATGCCAGTAGGGGCAGATTCATGCTCGCCTTGTTTCTGCAGTATTACAGTTATTACAGTCTCGTCCTCCATTTTATCTCTTCTGTTTGCAGATGGCAGGCATTTATTGAATAGTTTTCTTAGGTACGTTACTGAATCCATCCATCCATCCATCCATTTTCTGAAACTACTTCTCCTACTTACTACTTCTTCAAGTTAGTTATGGTTAAATCTTGTTTTATTACAACTTTTTACAATCACTATTACTGTTTCTGGTACTTCTATTGCTGTTTTATTACTGTTGTATTTATAGTTAATAATCTTGTGCCATTCAGTAACATTTGTGGTGAGTTTTTTGCCTTCTGGTCTGTGAATCTTTGTTCAAAAGAAAAATTAAAAAAGGGGTCTCTCAGCAAGGGGGGGGGGGGGAATCCCCCCTCGGTGCAATTTGTAGGTCCCAGGAAAGTGTTGCACATTTCATGGTGCCTGAACAGTGTTGCGGGTATAAATGTGCGATCAGTAGGCAGTGACTTGGGCAGATCGGGAGCAGATAAAGGCCTGTCGGCCTCATCCAGTTCAGCAGAACTTCAGTAAAGGCTGAAACTCTGTGGCTGTCAGAGACTGCAGCCATTGTGCGTACTCTGCTGATGCTGGTACAGATACGCTGTTCCTGAAACAGCTGGGGATTTCCTCCTAACACACGAGGCCGAAGTCGGCGTGATTGCTGTCCTTTTTATACTAGCGGGCAAAATTGTGGAAACACCTTGCATTTTTGGCATTACGCTTTAAAAATTACTACATGAATTTTGGTGGTGATGTTTACAAATATCACACATTGGTCGATAAAATAAGTAACTGTAATAAAGTTTTGCAATCTCTAAAAAAAAGTCGCCATTTGAATTTTTCATTGGACCGCCTTTAGATTATGGCGCACATTTGTCATGGCATTGTTTCCACAAGCTTATGCAACATCTCATCCTTTATTTTAATCCATATTTGCATTAATTTCTCACCGAGATCCTGTATTGACAAGTGAGTTGAACCTCCATAAAGCCTCCTTCATCACATCCCAGAGACCTTCAAGGAGGTTAAGGTCACAACTCTGTGGTGACCAAGTCACGCGTGAAAATGATTCCTCATGCTTCCTGGACCACTCTTTGACAATTTGAACCCAATGAATCTTGGCATTCTTGTCCTGGAATATGCCCATGCCAACATGGAAGAAAAAAATCCATTTATGATGGATGGAGGTGTAACTTGGCCATTCAGTAGATTCAGGTTCTCAGCTGACTTCACTTTATTGCTGCATAACGTTGCTGAGCTGTAATAATGATCCAGTCATTGGCTCTTAAGTATGTGCTGATATAAATACAAATGGCGATTGTATTTCCACAACTTTGGCCTCTAGTGTAGATTCTTTCGCCCCCATCCCCCCAGCTCAGCCCTGTGTTCTAAGCTCTCAGGACTGGTGGGCGGAGCTTAAATCTAAGATGTATTGGGACTGATGCCAGCTCGAGGTCCTGAAATGTAATATCAGTGCTTGTCCCTGACTGCTGTGGTCAGGTGAGCTTCCTGCACTGAAGCACGCGAATATGTATTAGTTTGAGGGGGAAGGTGGTTTCACTTGACAGTTTGTGCAGGATGTTACAGGCGATATGATCAGACTGGTTTCTGTCTTCTGATCAGCACCAGATAATGTGATAATTTTAGTGTAGACACGTGTTTAAGATATCGACAGGAAATGTCTGTTTCTATCATGGCTTGTATTGAAGAGCAATCTTGGTATGTCTTCACCCGCCATTTCCAGGACCCTGGAGCCTAATGGTGAGGTGTATAAGGTCCGGTCTTGCGAGACGGTCGTTGACCACTGCTCAGTGAACATCACCACGGTGACAGCCTACTACTGCATCGCCGTGACGATGCGCGGAGCCCACGGGGAGGCCGCCTCAGCTCACCGTTGCCTCCACGGCCTTGAAATAGGTCAGATCCCGTTAAGAGGTGCTCCAGACCTCGTTTTTGAAAAGAAGGCTGGGTCTTATGACCTAAAAATCATTACTGTCCTTCTGCTTGTGCTTCCACCCCAGTGAGGTTATACCCCCCCGAACTTTCCCAGCTGTGCCCCGTCGCAGGGCGCCCCCCCTGCCTGCAGCTCCAATGGTCCCTGCCCCCGCACTTCGCCTTGTCTCCCCGGGAGGTTGCTGAAGGCCATCTGAGGTACCAGGTGTGGTACCTGTCTGAGAACCAGGTCAGCAACTCATTCTTTTTCAGGCCCAGAACGTGCAAGGAGATTTCCCAGTGGCCTGGTCTGCCATTCAGAACATCATCATATGGTGAATTAGATTTAAATACCACACAGTATGGTCCCGACCAGAGGTGGACATTTCAGGTCCACACCAGGATTTTGTTTCAACCAACCAGCTGATCATAAAGAGTCACAGAGTACTGGTTGGTTGAAACACAATCCTGCTCTGGGTTTTTACTTTCTGGACCTGAAATGTCCACCTCTGGTACCGACCCGTGCCTCTTAGTTTGTGGTCCCACCCGTCTGTCATGGTCCCACAGCGCTATGAGACCCGCATATCAACACTGTGCATAGAAAAATATTAATTACTTATTACAAAGTGTCCACTGAAGGAAAAAAAAAAGAAAAGAAAAAACAGTCGAGTTCATACATGAAAATGAACGAACACTCTCAGTACACAGATGACTGGTTTATCATAAAGTTTAGCAGTCGTATAGCGTTCAAATATCACTAACAGGCATGATAGCATACGTGATAACTAACTTTATTGAATGATTTATAAACATTTTTCACGTTAAATTGACCTCAGCTGTGTAACAACAATTTTTTTGTACCATATAAAAAAAATAAAACGTTGTGTGCTGATTTGAACCAACATTCTCATAACCCCCACCCACCCACAATGCAAATCAACTGTCTTTATTGAGGTGTAAGATTGTTTATTAGATAGTGTTTGTGGGTCTGTGAAATGCATGCGTGCACAACACGTTTGGCCTGTCTGTGGTGGCCTGTTGCGGTGTGGCATGACGAAAGGACAATATGGGTGAGGTTACAAAACAAGGGACCTTAATGAATTAACCAAAAAAGGAAACACAACAAACTCAAGGGGTCTAATGAAGTCAGGAAGGTAGAACCACAGTAAAGCAGGGAGCAACACAGGAACAGCTACAGTGAGGCAGGGAACAAAACACAGGAACCATCACACAGCACACAGAATGACCAACTGAGCAATCAGGACAAGGGCAGGCACATATATACACAGGTAATAGGGGACAGGTGTGGGCCATTATTAATTACAAGGGAACTAAGAACTACAGGGGCCAGGTGAGGATAGTTAAGAAGTACAGGACCGAAACACTAGGTATGCATGTGAAACATTACATGGGACGACCAGTGACACCTGCTGGCCAAGGGGGGAATTGACATAAGACGGGGACCAATCCTGACATGTGGCCTGGTTTAGAGTTAGGATTCTCAGCCTAAAAGAGCCTCCCATCCAGCCCTGTTCTTTGGGACGTACACAACAGTATAACCATATAAAATATAATAAAGCCAAATATGCTCTGAAGAAATTTTAATGAAATACAATAAAATATGGTTCAGGTGCCAGTCTGCAGGATCAGTGTACACAGGTAACTCCCAACTTACTTAAAACCGACTTGTGTAAATCTAGACTTATGCAAAAAAAATATCCAAGATACAGAGTTTATGGAGACAAAAAGGTGACAAACTGGAAATTTATATTTAAACTTTATCTCTTTATTTTTTTTATTTAATATGTGTTCTTAAGCATGTAGTATAGTATTAGTAGTATAGTTTCAACTTATGTGTTTCTTGCTTTAAGGCAGGAGGTGGCCGACCTTATCCATGCTGAAACTGCCTAATTCGATTACTAATTATCTATCAATCAATCAATCAATCAGACTTTATTTATATAGCACTTTTCATATAAATACAATGTTAAATGCTTTACATAATAAAAACAATATCCCCCCCACCCCTGCCGCCACCTTGACGAGTCCTCACACCTGGGTTTCAACAGCTGACCGAAAGATTATCCCAATAACCTGCATAGACACTGGCCCTTTGTGGGTAAGATTACCTAACCCTAACCCTAACCCTAACCCTGGCTTCAGGTGTCATGAGTGGCATGGGAAGGTAAATCTGATTTATGAAAAATTTGACCCACGTAAGGGTTTATAGAACGGATTACTTCTGTGACAAGAACTGCGTGCATTTTGGCTCAAGGTGGCGCCATTGAGGCTCCCATTGCTGCGAGTCACACATTCACCCTTGTCCCTATAGACCAGACCCCAAGTGTTGGAGCAGGACCTCAGGAGGACGGAGTACGCGCAGGTGACGGAGCGGCCCCTATTCCTCTCAACCAAGCACACCGTGGAACTGTGCATTTTCTCTGCCTTCACCCGTTACGCCGTGCAGATCCGATACCGCTACCACCGCTCGCTGCACTGGAGCGACTGGAGCTCAGCACTGGAAGCGCGCACTGCAGAGGGAGGTAACATAATGCAGGGGAGGTGAAAGATATTGTCTCAAGGGTGCATGGAAGCAGGCGCCCAACTGTTTCCATAGTGACAGACACAATGGCTGTGTTCGAAATGGTTCACTCGCTCACTCCCTACTTACTGTAGAGAAAAATCTATGTAGTTTGCTACATCGGGAATTTGTCGATGAACAATTTCAGACACTACATTCCAAGATGTTCTGCGTTTGTATACTAGCAACCTTTGACAGGTGACATTTATGAACAGCAGAAACTAAACGGAATAAAGGAGATAAAGTGAATATTGATGCATGAGTCTGTAATTTGAATGTATTTCGTTATATTTTCACAATTTTATTACTATTAAATGATTAAAATTGAAATGTCAATTGAACGGATTGCATATATATTAAGAGAGATAAGGAGCATGCGTTGATTACAGTGCATTGCCGCACCCACTACATGACAAACCACCTCAGGAAGGTGAACCAGAGTGCAGCCATGTGGCGGGTGGTACCACAGCACCACGATAGTGCAAATGAACCAGTGTGAGTTTTTTTCTGGTAGCTGGAGTGCCAATCCTGCCACCAACCCCCAAATTTCCCTGTAAGTTGGAGATTAACAGCAATTACAGGGTTAGGGCCTTGCTGAAGAGCCCAATATATAATGTAAAACATTATCATAATATTAATATTAACAATATTAATATTTAACAAATATAGCAAGTTACTTTAGAAATAATTATGTGTTTACATTTACATACAAAGTCACCCTCGTGGGTCAATTTGTTTATTGTGGTTGACAACAGATAAATGTTTGGTACACACGGAGCATCAGAGTCTGTACCCTAACCCATCGTTTGTGCAGTACAACTTGCAGTGTCTTGTGGGTATTTTATAGTGCACTGTACAGTGAGTCAGATTTGCCTTTGAGAACTCAAACGGCACTATAGAATGGCAGGCACACTATTTTTTGCACTATTTCTGCAATGGGAAGCGATTCTGAACACAGCCCAGGATGTGTCTCTGTTTCAGCAATGAGAGCAGGGTGGTCTGGCATTAACGGCGTGTTAGATATCTATGCTCCGATGGAGCGCTAGTGTGACTCCTCTGAGTATGCAGGCTGTAGAGTGACGGCTTGGGGGTGCACATGAGTGAACATGCGTGTGAGTGTGGGTGTGTCACCCCTCTGCCCTATAGCCCCTTCGGTTGCCCCCCACATCTGGATGCAGGTGGATCCTCCAGACCCGGGAGGGTCCAGGACAGTCATCCTGCTCTGGAAGGTGAGAATTTAACAATGACCCCCCCCCACCCCCCATCCGTACTGATTAACCCTTTCACATTCTGGTGACTGGCAGAGATGCAGTAACTCGAACAGCTGGAGTCCATACCTAAATATTATAGCCTGCAGGGGGCGCTGTGTTGGCTCAGTGAGTTAGGGTTCCGTGCCTGTGATCAGAATATTCATTCTTATTTGTTCTTGTCTGGTTACACATAACCAGGGCCACCGCTAGAGATTTTGAACCTCATGAACGCTTTAATTTTCCAGATTCCAAAATTTTTTAGGGCCCCGGGCCCTTGGAATCGTTCTAACCTTCCCCCTCTTTTACGGCACCCCTGCACAGAGTGATCTACAGCTTGCGCTCTTGAGCAAAGCCTTAATCCTAATTGCTCTATGTGCCAGCTGATCCCGCTTGTTCAATTCATCACTTTGGATAAAAGTGTCTACTAAATAAATGCATACATAGAGATCACAAGACACTATCTGATTATTATTATTATTGTTGTTGTTAATGTAAGGTGTGTCTGCACATGGCTGTTTGTCCTAATGAGGCTGTTTTATAGCCACTGCCATCCAGCCTGGCCAATGGTAATGTTCTGGGGTATAACACGTCATGCGGGTGTGAGGACACCCCCACACAGACACGGGACAGGGGCTGTGGGGCTGTTTCCCCAAACTCCACGTCCTGCAAGCTGGACCTGCCCCGGCAGCCCTGCGCCTGCAGCGTGTCCGCGGTCACCTCCGCCGGCGCCTCCCCACCTGCGTGCATCAGGGTTCCTGCTGTGACAGATCCAGGTGACCCGCAAGCCACTGGTGCTGTTTTGTGACCCCTCGTTGAGTAGCTTACAAACACACACTGCATCTCTAGTAAGGAATTTATGAAGAAAACATATGAGAAATTGAAATTACAAAGTAAAAGGAGCATGATGGTTAGGTACAGCGGTCCCAGAGCGGGAATCTGAACCTTTGAACAACAGTAACGTAGCTTTTAGTAGTGATAGACAAAATGACAAAATGACGCTTCAAGAACCAATTATTATATTTTTTCAACACCACTAGATGGTGCTCTTGGTTTGCTTTGGAGCATGTTTTGTGCCTTTTTTGATTAAGGAGCGCCATCTAGTGGGGTCAAAGAATACAGCAAACGGTTCATGAAGTGTCATGTTGTCCATCACTAGCTGATAATAAGATGTCTTAAACTCTAAAGGAGTTTATTTATGCCGTTTTTTTAGTCGGCCCACCTCCCAAGAACATCAGCGTGCAGCCATTGGATGACTTCAGGCTCCTGGTACGATGGACAGTGCTAGAGAACCAATCAGCAAGCCGCTATGTGGTGGAGTGGTTCGCAGTGACCGAGTCTGCACCACACTGTCTGTACTGGCAGATGCTGGGAAACGGGACTAATCACACTGTCATCACAGGTTTGTTTGAATTACGAGATTCAGTCTGAACCTGCTGTTTTGTTTCAATGTGGAAAATGGACGTCTGGTGCAGTAGAGTGATGTAGTTTGCAGTTTGGGTACGTTAGATGTGTGAAGATAGGGTGTTCTGTCTGTGCGTGTGACCGTGTGGAGGAATCTGCGATGGACTGGTATCCTGCCCAGAATGCTGCCTGCCCTGCATCACTGGCTCTCAACTGGTTTAGCCTCAGGAACCCACATTATTTCTTGGCACAAAAATATGAGAGGAAAATTTTGTTATATTTGCTGATGGGACGGGGGGGGGGCGGTGCTGGCGGCAAAAATATCCACCCACGTCGCGGCACACTGAAAATTGTCCCGTGACCCACTTTTGGGTTACAACCCACCAGTTGAGAAGCAGTGCCCTGTGTTTCCTGGGACTGGATCCAGCTCACCACTATAATGACAGGATAAGTGCCTATTAAAAATGTATGGCTAAATAAATGTGTACACTGCAAGCCAAACTGTTATGTGAAAGCTCAGCCCTTCAGGTTAGACTGTGTCATCCTGCAAACCGAGTGTGATGTTTATTACATTTTTATGGCTGCTGTTTTGCGCGGGGGCAAAACAGAAAGAGGCGGCCAGTAGTTAGTGGTCATGGATTCCCAGCTGAGAGCAAAAACACTGCAGGAATGACAGCGGTTGATGCATCTTCAGATTCAAAAGATTTATTGTCATTTGTGGTTGTATAACTACTAGGACTGCACGATATCACATTGTGATTTAATCGTGATTACGTGGCGCGTGCACAATAATCACCAGGACTTCGGATAATGGTATTCTCTGTATTATACAGATGTGTACTTGCATCCACAATTTGGTAAGCAGATTAGTAGTGTGCCTAAAATATTAACAGCATGTGAATTGTGATGCTCAAAAGTTAGCAATCACCTTAGAATATCATTTAACATCCAAAGAAATGTGCAGGTTCTGGGCTCAGTGTTGGAACCTGGAAAATCCCACCATGCTGTCATTGTGTTTCAGAGAGGATCGAGCCAGAGGTTCGCTACAAGGTGTCTGTAAGGGCCCTGTACGGATCTTTGCCCGGGCGGGAGCAAGCGGTGGAGATCTACACGCGACAGGGAGGTACGCTAGCCTCGTCTTCCTCCTCTGCTTCCGCTATGAGACACTGATCGGGCCTTTTATCGCTTTCGCTAAGGTTAGGCTAAAGGTTAGGCTAAAAGGAACAATCCTAGATTAGCAACTAAAGGTAGTTTCACACAGATTCTCTTCCTCCCGCTGGTCTCAGTTCTTTGTCACTTTCTTTGGGATCCCATCATAACGATACAATATTGCTTTTCTGTAATTTCTTTTTCTCTGGACAGTATTGTCACATCTCTCATTGTTTGAGTGTTGGTTTTGGTTCTGGATTTCTCTGGTGTATGACCTCTTGGTTTCTCATTTTGGACTTTGTTTTGTTCCGCAAGCTCTGTTTGCACTTCACCTAACTGCACCTGGCTTTCAAGCGTGAATGGGATATTGGATATTAAATTGGATATTGGATATTAAATTGGATATTAAATTGTAATTAAACCCCACATCTTGATCTGAACCTGCAAGTTACTCATCTCTGTGACTAATGAAATAACAGCTTCATAGTTTCTGACTAAGTACTCATTCCATTCTTTGCATATTGTAGGGCTGGCTCAGACTTCTGAAGTGGCAGTAGCAGAAAACAGTGTGTTTTGATTGACATAAAACATTGGGATGAATTTGCAGCTTAGTCAAATTTCTGAGGAGTGAGGTTATATACAACTACGCAAAGGTGTAGAGTTCTCCCTTCCGCATTGCAGCTTTCCCTGCGGTTTTGATATATCGCGGGGTCAGCATGAGAAATTAATTTTTTTTGGGAGTTTTGCAAAAGCCGCAGGCAACATGCGAAGGCCAGCAAACATCACATAAAAAATATAGTAACTGATAAATGCATAAAATATACGTACAGTGTTGGTTTGGAGGATGACAACCGTGTTTACAGCAGCCTCTCACGTGACACCTCGCCGTGGACTTGCAGTGGCTTTTGTATCTTACGTTAGTCATATCTTCTAGCTTTAATTCACTCTGCTTGCATGTTCGCTTTCCTCGGCAAGGGGACCAAAAAATTTTATGTGGTTTTTCCAGATCAAGGGGGGCCTGCACCCCTAACCCCCCCATGTGGCCGAGTCAGCTGTATTTCTTGAAGCCTCCGGTCCTTGTGCATACCTCACCTGATTTCTTAAATCGACATGCTCCACAGTGCCATCTGCTGGACCGAAGCTACAGGTCGTGGAGCTCAGAAGCAACAGTGTGATCCTGCAGTGGGAGCCCATTCCTGTGGAGCAGCAGCACGGTTTCATCCGGAGCTACACCCTGTACTGGCAGCACATGAATGACCAAGTCGGAAGTGAGTCTCCCTGATTGGAGGAAGTGGGTGAGGGCAGAGTGCAGGCTCCCAGCTGCCCTAGGAAAGCTTGGAGATCCACCAGAGAGGGTTAGAGTCTGGGGTCTTGGAAAGAGCAGTCTTGTTTAACCTTCTCCCTATGCTTCCTTAAACAGGAAAAGTGTATGGATGGATGGATGGATATAATATGGATTTAACTAGGGAACATATTCAAATAATATAATTTGTAACAGCAATGGGCAATCTTATCCATAAATGGCTGTCATGTGTGCAACTCCCTAATTAGATTACTAGTTTTCACTGCAACTCCCTAATTAGATTACTAATTAGAGGCCTGATTGGCTGAGGAGTCCTCACGCCTGGGTTTGAACCGCTGACCTACAGGTTACCCCAAAAACCTGCATACACACTGGATCTTTAAGGGCAAGATTATAATATAATGCATCTGTCAGAGTCACCGGAGGGGCTGAATGTTATCTTGGGTAGCAGAGAGAACGAGGCAGGTGTGTTTGTGGGATGCCAGTCCCTTACAGGGTACATACACACACGCATCCATGCCCAGAAACGTGCATTACGGGCCATGGAGGGATGCCATTTAACCTAAGGACACGTCTTCGGACGGCGGAAGGAAACCGAAGTGCTCAGAGTAGGCCCATGCAGGACAGGGAAAACATGCAAGTGACACACAAACCTGGAGGTGTGAGGAAACAGTGCAGCCTGCTAAGCAAACATCCTGCCCTTTATAATATAAACATTTTATAGAAAATAAGTATAATATAATGCTAAATTACAATACTATTATAATATTATATAATATTGTCATTATTTTACAATGGAATGGGTGTTGTGCAGGAAGGGTTACACGATCATCAAATGATGGTCTAGTAACCTGTACTTTGAAACATAGAGATAATCAGTGCCAGTACCCCATTTTTCCACTAGGGGGTGACAAAACCAAATCCTAAAGCAATGACGTAAGGTGGAGGAGAGTCACAAAGTTTTGCTATAGATTAGCTCGTTAAGCAGCTTTGAGTGAAATATATATTTTGTGCTTAAAATTGTATCAAATAAAATACCAGAGTCTTCCAAATGAGAACACAACAAATTTATTTTAGAATAAAAAATGTTAGAATGAAAAATTTAGTACCAAGAGTCCTACAGTTGTGCCAATTAATCAATATCTTAATTATATATAGCTACCTTGGACTGCTTAAAAACTAGATTAGAAGATAAATTCACTATTGAATCATTTTGTTGTTTTCTGCAAATATTTTTTCAAGTTAAATGAATTTATGCAAATACAAATATTTAAAAATATTATGGCCTTCCACATACTACTGCATTGACAGCTAAATTCCATTTTTTTTGACATTTTAAGAATTTACAATATTGACATTATATGGTACAATAAAAGTTACACATGTATTGTATATCGGTAAACATTTGTGTATCATATTAATTGTCTTGAATGGCAACAGCAGAAGGTCATGTTTGCACATATGCCAGTATGTGCGTGTACTGTGTGCGTGTCATAGGGGTTGTGGTGCCACCCGGCTGTCATAGACACCTGCTGAGCGAGCTCTGCGGAGAGTATAACATCCATGTGGAGGTCAGCACAGATGTGGGACAAACAGCTGGACTGCCAATCACTGTGGTTGTAGGTGAGGACACTCAAATTCTACTCCCCCAAACCAGAACCTGACTCTCGCCCTAGGAAATGTGATGGCCAAATGAAGCTTCATGTTGTATTATTTGACCACACTACATTGTACTGTTTCCTTTGGGGCATGCCTCGAGAGCACCATCTAGTGGACATCATATAATACAGCAAATGGTTCATGACGCTTAATTCTTCCAGTACTAGTGAGGCTCATTACCATAAAAGGGAACCATGTTCTGTGACAAAGATCATCCTGATAAGTGGACAAGGAAGCTTTGTAGTGAATCAATCCAGCTACCGGCCTCTTTCCTGTGCTTTACATCCCCCTTCTGGAACAATTTGGTCTTTTTATGTCCTAGGGCAGGGTGACGTGTCACTGTTGACCATCCTATCCTGCATCATCATCTCAGTCTTCACAACATTCATACTGATCACCATCCTGTGGCACAGAGAGAGGTGAGAGTCTGATAGTGAAGATCACCATGTGGGCACCATTGGATAATGACACCATTCTATCCTATAGCTCAGTACAGTGCTCTTCATGTTACATATTGTTACCTTATAACCTGATAAGTCGTGACGTCTTCAGGGTAAGAAGGTCCCTGTGTCCAGTGGTACCTGATCCAGCCAAAGGCAGCCTTTCAGTCTGGGTGCCTAGGATGTGTGGGAAGGTAAGATAAGTCCAGATTCTTGTGGAGATCCAACTTTAGCGCTGAAGCACTGTGATGTTACCTCAGGAAAAAGAGTCAAGTATTCCTCACACCGTTTTCCTTTCATCGGCTATACACTTGGGAAATAACATGTGTGGTATTTATTTTGTCAGAGAGCACTTCTTTCAGAGCAAAGACTTCACAACAATAAATATTATAATCTTTAATCTCAATACACTCACATCCTGCTAATTGTCTTAGCTACAGTCGCTCAGCATGTCTCAGAACAATAAAATCTGACATTGTTTTGTTAGTAGGATCCCAGTTCGTCTGCCATTAAAAAACACCAGGTCTCATCACCATTTGCCTGATGTATAATGGCTTTTGTTTTAAGTGAAAAATAAATGGCTAGATAGATGCAATTTGAACTCAGTGATTCCTCTTTCCTAAAAACAGATGAGCCGAATGTCCAATTTTATCATATTATGCATGTTATGCAAGTCAAATTGCAGTAACTCACTGAAGATTTCTTGCACAGAACACTGAGTGCCTTACAGGTTTTGTAAATTGTACCTGTTGAGATGTGGTATGTGGAATGTTTCATAATGGTTCATAAATTCTCATCAAATAACCTCCCAAGTTCAGCAGGACTGAAACAGAAGGCACACACAGGTTAGCATCATTGTACTAGCCTGCCTACTGCTTCACTTATCCAGGACACTGAAGCCCAAATAGATAACGCCAATCTGAGTAGCTGTCTGGTATCAGCACAGGCAGAACGTTTATCAGTCACTCTCTCCCTGTCAGGAGGATATCAGCAGTCCTGAGATGAAGGTCAGTGTGAAAACCTGTGACCCCATCAGTGAGCTTGTCACCTGGGGGGAAAATGATCACCAGCGACCCCTGATGGTGCAGGATGAATACATTAACTGTTCAGCAGTGGCCATCTGCAATGAGGTCGGCTGTGTACTACTTGGTGACCAGGGGCCAGCCAGGGGTGACCTGAGATCTTCCTATCGCTCCTACGCAAACCTTATGATCGAAGACAATGCTGATCATTACTACCCCTGGAAGTCTGCCCCATCTCCTGCCTATCAGCGCCTCAACGATTTCCCAAGGGACACTGACTTCCCTCTGCTACTACAGATCCTCCTGCAAGACTTGGATGCCTCATCCCCTGTCATTAAGAGCTCCCCTCTCCGGAGACTCGTGACACACAATTATGAAGAGTTCCCATTAGAGAAGCCACCACCATAAGTGTTTCTGCAGTCTGTGTGAGAGCTGGCACGAGTTCCATAGCTGAAGTTTCGGGCAGGCAGTTTTCTTTTTACATTTTATTTATTAGATACTTTTATCCATAGCAAACATTTTTGTGAAAGCAGGATCAGCCAGTCCCTGTGGCTTTTGGGGGTTAATGTCCTTGCTCAGGGTCCAACAATGAAATTACTCTGGGATTTGAACCAGCAACCATCTGGTGACAGCCACACTGTTCTAACCCACCCAACCAAACACCACTCCAACTGTTTTGTTTGGCCGCAGGGGGGGCTTGCGAATCCTGCAGCCCATATGCTGATGCTGTTTGGAATATATTTCCAGGCACTTTCCAGAAACTGAATGTTACTGTTGCAACTATGTGGTATCAGACTCTGAAAGCTAATACAGAAAAACCTGGATTTGGTCATTATATAAACAAACGGATTTATGCTAAAGATAAGTCTGCAGGCTTGCGTCCTGACAGGTAAATCTTATTTTAACTTGACCTGGTTAATAACAGTCTGCACGTCGTGTATTCGTCAATCGAAGAGAATGGAATGGTGCATTAAATTCACAGCAGAGGGCGCCGTTGGCTGAACACGGAATACGGTAATGTACGTCACTTGTTAGTGAAGGAAACGACGGCACAAATTTTAATTGTGTGAAATTATGAATATACTGTTAAGTTTAATGAATAAAGCTGATATAATACTTTAAAATAATGTATAGTTAAATGTAATAAAAATAAACAAATGTAGTCCTACGTGTCTTATCAGTAACTGATCAGTCTATGTAAAAGAATTGGCATCAATGGAGTTGACTTTGGCTTGTCACGGTACCCAGAGGGCCAGGTCTATCTGTGGGGTTGTCCGCAAATGTTTTTCTGCAGAACAATAGACTGAGACGGGAACGTACGGCAATGTCACGGTGTTAAAAAATGTAGCTGAGACAGCGGCAATTCGATATGTCTCATAAACACAATGAGCCGCTGCGGAAAGGGGAAAGAGGAGAGGTCCCTCGCTGGGACAACAGGCGGCGTTTGTGGGAATCTGAGGGCGATGCGCCAGGATTCAGTGCCGCTGGGGCTGCTTTCCTGAGGCTTGGATTCCTGACAAAGACGGGTTTTGTTTTGACAGCGAATGGCTCCATAGTGCCACATCCATCCTGCAAGCACTGCAGATTAGCCGGCGTCAAAGGGGAGATAGGCAATGTGCCAAGAGTGGCCGCACAACAATGGGATTTCTGGAAAACAGATATCCCACAGAGAGCTGTCGTCGTCTACGCTTCCATCTTTGACGTGCATGCCAAAGAATGCCATTCTTGGCATCTGAATCTCTGAATCCGTTTTCCAGCAGAACTTGGGCGGATTTGTGGAAATGCGGAATTACAGCACCCTCTATGGGTCATCGTGTGAAACTTTCATTCGAACTAATGGCTCTAACCTGTGTGACATACGGTTTTGGCAGCAACGTTCCACTTGATGTTGGGCGTATTACGATTGAAAAATAATCCAGTGGAGACCAGTAGTAAATATCCTTTTAATAAATCCAGACGGCTCATAAATATCGACAATATTACAAAAACAATAGATACATGGATCCAGAATCCATAAACAACTATACCGATTTCACTTCGCTTAAAACAGAAAAATGTCAACTCCTCAGCCAATGTGACAAGGACCTCATTGATGCGGTTACAACTGATGACTCCAAAATAGTAATTTCTTGAAATTTTTTTATCCCTGGGTATCATTGCATGTGTAACTGAACTTGAATCAGGCTACACGTTTAATGTAAGTAGTAAAACCTCTGCAGATGTTTATTTCTCAGCACAATAATCTGACGTCAAAACCTTGGGGCGGGAAGATATGGAGAGCGAGAGGGATCGTTGCGCAGAGGTAGCTGGTCTCCCACAAAGGATCAGCAGGCGGTTCGCCTGAAAGCAACCATTGGCTTTTTCGTCTAATTAGAGAGACGGAAAGACATAATGCTCACAGAGCTTTGAGAGCAGCAGCAGCAGCATATTGCCACCCACCGACCGAGCCGGGCGTTCAAGTGGCTGAAGTCGAGAAGTTCCGTGAAGCGCACCTACAGCTCCGAGACAGGTAAGGGGCAGGAGCCGGAAGAACCCGCAATTCAGGTTGCGCTACATAATACGGTTTCACTACAATGCACATGCATTGGTTTTGATTGCGGGTCTGTCATACATATTATAATGAAGCACATTTTAAAGGGGTCCCAAGGATCAGAAGGGGAAACCATGACGGAGCAACGAAAGAAGAAGCTCTTCGTGTTAGTGGATGTGCTCTGCGTGATTGTGGGTACGTACAATAAACTTAATTCCCGTTTTGCCGAAGTTTTTCTTTTAGCTAAATCTTAACGCTTTCCTTGCCCCCGCTTCCTCTGGAGTAGGTTGCAAATTATACCCCAAAACTCCGTTTATCGGTCCTTTTAAATAACTTGTCCAAGTTCTTATCGATACTTGAAAAGAAACTGGTTGCTCAATGCAAACTCGATCGTGAAACGTGTCCATAACACTGCTGTGTTTTAAATCTGACGCGCAAAATACTCTAAGCTGTCAGTGTTTTCATCCCAAATCCATATTTTGACATAATTTAATGATATACACTGAATAATTATACTTTTACATCAATGTAAAATATCCGAGTAATACAGGTTAATTTATTGTCATTAATCACAATCCTGGGCATGTCAGACTTTGAGAATAAACGGTTTCTGTTTTGCCAGAATTTTTTGGACTAAGTACATAGTCTTGTGTGTGTGTGTGTTCTTTGTGTGTGTTTTGTGTGTCAGAGAGAGGGGTAGACTTGGCTTCTATTGGCTGTCCTTCTGGCCCTAGATAGGAAGACTTAAAAAAAAATGCTGCCACGATTTACTATCAAAGCCAATATTTAATCTTTCTTTTTTTTAAGTCTCTGGTTACCCTCATCTCATGGTTATTAATGTCAGTTTTTAAAAGTTAAAAAAATCTGTTCTTCATTATTTTTGAGTTATAGTTCAGCTGTGTTAACTATAATAAATGTGGTTGTGTATTAGTGAATGGAACAGTAAATATCAGTTTTGTAGTGGGTATACAGCTGTCAGGACAGAATTGTTCCAGTTTTTAGCCAAATACAGTAGCAGCTGACTTAATCTTTCTAAAATGCTGTTCTGATCGCAAAGCCTCTGGTCTTGCACACATCAATTCAGTATCAGCGAGCGATGTCTGGGTAATTTCTGGTATGTTGGTTCTGCTTCTTTTGACCCAGACGTGTGAAAAAAGTTCAGAAACCTACCCTTTAAGTCTCCTTGTTTTCAGAACTCTGACGCCGTGTCCTCTCCTGTTTGGTTTCTGGGAGTTTTGGGTCGTTTGATAAGTTGAGAGACTGGAAAAAGCTGCAGCTGCTCCCATTACTGCCCAGCGCAGATGAGTCCCTAAAGCTACGCTAATCCAGTGCTCCAGTGCGTTGAATCCTTCGGCTTTGCTGCCTGTCTCACACACTCTTGAGGGCTCTGCATGCCCAGGTGCTTCGCATCGCTTAGGCTACGTTTATCTTGCATGATCCCGCGTGACGACCATATATTGTTACTTCATGTGCGATCTATGAAACCTATCCTGTGAACAAGCCGAGATTAATTTATAAGAGGATTGTGATGGGTTAGGTCACTTCATTTCATAAAGAACTGATGTGGTTAAAAAGTATATCAGATTTTATTGTTTTGCTTGTGGGACAATGGAGGGAATTCATTAAATCCAGAGACTAAGCACTGTGCACTGGATTAGCTGCCTGGTGTGATGAGCTGGTGTAGTTGTTAATGTGGTAAAAGCAATATAATGAAGGAAAAATTCCATCGCAGAAATGCAAGGTGGGGGGTCCATTGTTTGATGCAATTTCTTTCCTATGAAAATCAGACACGATGTCGGCCGCCAGCTGAGATGTTCAGCTCCCATCACTGGAGTAACTAACTGCGAGAATAGAAGAGTGATACTTTATTAATCCCCAAGGGGAAAAAAATATCTCTTTCTGCCTGTCTTATCTTGCGCTCCGTGAGACGTGTATACAAGTGGGTGCAAGATTGGGGGTCACAGCACGGGGTCAGCCAGCGTATGGAGGAGGGGGTTATAGGCCTAGGGACTTGTAACTATTCTGCCGAGGTCGGGGTTCAAACCAACAACCTTCTGATGAGACTAGAGACTTAGTCTGCTGAGCCCCACTCTGTTCACTGCTCATTTGTAAGAGCATCTGCTGTATAAATAATTATGAGGTAATGAAACTCGCACGTGAATGTAGCCGCTTAACATTCAAGGATAACAGCACAAAAGGAAGGCTGTGTGCTCATTTGGTGAAAATTCTGTTATTGTTTCTAACACAATGTGGGGGGAAAAAAAGACACACAGCAAAGAATCAGAGAGGAAAGGCAGTTTCATCTGAAAGACGCCCGAAACAATCGGCTGTGGAAATGGCCTCCATTGGGGGCTGGGGGTGGGAGGGGGTGATCCAGTGCTTCTGGTAAGTCTTGGTAACTGTATTGTTATTTCTTGCTTATGACACATCATTGGCATAATCTTGGAGTCGAGTAACTAATGTAAGGTTCCTAATGCAGGATGCCAGAAGGTTCCTGCTGTTGTACCTTTGTAGTGAGGTACTTCACCAGAATAGTTCAGCTGTGAATATTCCCAGGGGTGCTGCTAGAGATTTTGACCTCCATGAAAGCATGTCATACCAGGCCCCCAACCCGGACCAATCCACTTATGTTCCAGATTTTTTGTCACCCGCGGGGCCTTTGGTTTCACCCTTAAGCCCCCCACCACGGCGCCCTTGAACACTCCCCCCTGTGTCCACATGGGTGTCCTTCCAGCACTCTTGTTTTCTCTCATAGCCTTGCGATTTCGCCGGATCAGGGTGCTCCCGTTCATGCCCTCAGCTTCCTGGGATAGGCTCCAAGTTTCCCTGAAACCCTCTGCTTCTGACGGCCAGCTGTGGAAAACGGGGAGATGCACGGATTGGTAGCAGATTGGTAACTTCATATGCACGATTTTGCCAGTTTGATGTTCTCCAACCAGCTGAATAACATTTGTTATGACAATAAATGTCTGTCAGGCATTCAGCTCAGCTGACAGTGATGTGCACACTGGTTAAGCTATATAGAAGGCAGGTTGGGAGATTCTGAGACAAGGCAGCTCGCCAAAACTGTCTCACACAGGCTAAAACACACTGCTTTTCCTGCGACAGACAACAGATTACAGCCCGTTTAAGGAGGGTCAGACTTTGAAGGGATTTAGCATCCTAACATGAGAGACCTACCAGCTGAGCTTTCAGCCGACTGCTAAAGCATAAGGTGATTTTCTTTTTAGATAAATTCCGAGTGCAGTAGGTGGCAGGATGCCTGATCCACAATGGGTTCATTTGTAATTTATATTAGTACCGGATGTTAATGTCTTTTATAATGTCACACAAAGAACTGGGGAGATGGTATACGTATGTACAGGAAGTGCTGGTTATCTGGGAAGGATGTGGATCTTCTCCATTGACGAGGCACGTTGAGTGACGGGAATGCAGACACCTTGGCCTTCCTGTAACGGAGCCCCGTGGAATGTTTGGTCAGTCTGTGCCCACGATGCACTGTGGGACAGCTTGAGTCATGGTTAGAGTTTGTATTTTTTTTTTGGATCTTTTTGCAACTTCCCAGGCAGATTTTTCTTCGGTTGGGAGTCTCTTGGGAGGCAGAACTTTTTAATACTGGTTTGGGAAAAATATCCATTCTGACTTCTCAAACATTCCGGTCATTCACAGACCATTTTTTATAATACGAATCCAGAATCCACAGGAACAGGAACTGAACACCAGGCATGGAAACGTATGTGGGGCGGACAGTATAATGATGAACAAAGGTGTCCACAAAGCCCACAATAACTAAGCTTAATGATTGGCCAAAGACTGTGATGGTCTAAACAATGCATACGTTTCTAATTGGACAAAGAATGAAGCTTGTGACGCTATGAATTCTGGCAATATCCCCACTGGATCCAGTAAAAATGATCTTCTTTTCCCCTGGGTACTTATCAAGTGGAAAAGTCCTCAGTTACATTGTCCCGGAGTTAATGTGCTCTCTCTTGGCCTGTCACGAACTCCATTCAAGAGTCTAAATGATTTATTAGTTTTCTTTCCTTCTGTTTTTTTTTAATCTGCTATTTGTTTGCTGGCTCTTTATAGCTTTTACAGTTGATATCATTCAGATGTTTTTTTTTTTATCAGACATTTTCTCACTAGTTCTATCAGTGTGGAGGCAGTGAGTAGGAGTGAACTTCTGTGCGTCTTTGCCGTCACCCCAGTTGGATTTGAGAAGCAGTGCATTGTGGGAGTCACAATCAGCTATTTCCGATCATCGATGGGTCCGGGAACCTTTCAATGTGATGCGCACGCTCTGTCATGGCTTTCTCTTTGTCTGATCGAGGAGTTCACCCAGAATGCGTGAGTCAGAGCAGCCGAACATCTGGCTGAAGAGCGAGGATCTTAGAGGGAGAGCGAGCAGGAGGGAGTGCCAGTGTGCATTCAACTGCCAGATCCAGTGTTTGCAGCTCAGATCCAGCAGTATTCTGTCCATGCAGTGAGCACATACCTTCCACAATACTCAGCCTGATGCTAACAGCTGCACAGGTTCTTGTGAAGGCCTGGAGAGTGATGAGGAGGAGGTCTACGAAGGTTTAACCTTACCTAGAGTGCGCGGCTAATGTGCTCGGCGATAGGGGTCACCGTTATGCCACGGGGACAACCGATAGTTACCCGCCATGATGGATTTTATGGTCCCAGAGTGCCATTGAGACATAACACTCTTACAGTGTCAGAATCTGACAGCTCATTAACCACACAACGAAACATCAGCTCGCACTACTAAACGAGGCAGCCAGCCGGCTGCTTAGTAATAGCAAAACCCAGAATCCAGGTGTGCGGCAAGGTGTCTGGACAGAAAACAAAGTATGGAAATAATTGGAGTAAAATAACTAAATAATCTTATTGTTACCTTCTCGTATTGCCTTTAGCGCCGAAATCAAAGCGTTAAATCGGCTCACTTATTACCAGCTATTTTATTTTCCCCTTGTCAAGTGACTCAGCAAGGGAAGAAAGGCACAGGTGTGTGCCACAAGGCCACCGACCTACAGCACATGTCACTGTTCCTTATTATTACTATTCTTATTCACGCAGTGTCACTGCCTATAGATCATTTCATATTTGCTTCTGAGGTCTAATATAAAGTTACTTTTTAAGCAGCTAGCAAGACCGGAAAGGAGCTAGATCATCATGCCTTGATCTTAGACCTGGTTCAGCAGTAGCAGAAACCCTGCTGACTAATCGCCGTCCCGCCTGGAGTTTGATTAATGAATTTAATTGCTGGGGTTCCTGCTTTTCCTGATGACGCCATGCGCCAATAAGGAAGCAGCAGTCAGAAAGCATGGAAATGTGTCAATCTTCATCTGGAGGGATCTGCAGGCCTCCGCTGGGCAGTGGAGCAGAACTCTGGGTAACCTCAGATCATATGAGATGATTAGTAAATGACACTTTGGTGACGCTGTAGAACAGGGCTATTCAATTCAGGCCCTTGATTCCAAATCCAGGCCTTATTTTCAGTTCTCCCAGGTGGTTAGTGTAATAATTACTGATTCTGATTGGCCAGAGGCTTCACACCTGACTCACAGGTGAAGGAAGGCTGGAAAATCGGCAGGGCTCGGCCCTTGAGGACCGTGAGTAGCCCTGCTGTAGAAGCTGACTTGCGCTCTGCGTTGTCCTGTCCATAATGTCCTATCATCAAACAAACAGTGGATGAGTCAGGTCCAGAAAGAAAAAATCCAGACCAAGATGTTTCAATCAACCAGTTGAGTACAAAGAATCATGATCACAGAATACTCAGTTGGTTGAAACAAAATCTTGGTCTGGATCTGTACTTTCTGGACCTGAACCTCAGTCAACAAAGGTACCGACCTCAGGTCCTTTCCTGCAGATTCACTCCTGTACATGAAGCAGGATGGGGTGAGGTTTACCCACATTTACCATGCATTGTTTTCTCCGGCACCTCCTTTCTGCTCCCATTTTTTGTGCCAATAACGCAGTGGTTTTCAGGCGGACTCAACTGATTCATGATGATGCTGGGATGCGTGTGCTATTCAGAAAGGGCGGAGTGCCCTGTGTCATCGCTCAGACGGGTGTCCTAGCCTGACAGCTGTCACACGGTATCTGACTAACATGGCGGAGTCCCTTGTTCAGGCTTAGGTGGGTGTGGATTGGGTACGTTTTATCCTGTTTTCTTCGTCTTTTTTTCCAACAATGGAATGTCTGTGGAGGGCTGAGCCGGTCCTTTTGTAGAAGATGCTGACTTAAGATTTCATTCTAAATACGCTTGTTTGTCCGACTCTCCGTGCCGATTGACTTCAGGGCTTGGCACTGGTATGTTTAGGGAATCCTAGCCGTGTGTTTTTCTTCAGTATGTTCTGTCGTGCTTGTCTCACATTTGTTAGCTAGTTGGAGGTTGCACAATCGCAGTATAAATGTCCTCATGATCTCTGGTCGCCGTTATTTTCCGTCATAGTCGGTTTATCAATGGAACAGATGTGTTCGTAACAGAATGGCCTGTTTGTGCCAATGGTTCACAACCTTTTTTGCATCAGGATCCAATGTTTATCATGGCAGCTCCATGTCAAGTATAGGTTTAAATTAATGCTATGACCAACCATGCAGTGCACTCCGCAATTTGCGGCAATCAATGCCTATTGCACAAATCTGATTGGATGTGCCAGTGAATTTTAAATTACACACCTGTGGTTTGGCTATTTGGATTGGTTGGGTGTTCACTAGTTTTACTCTAAGCATTTGCAGACCCAAAACTGGTTTATATAGGTTAAATTCTACGACAGGGCTGAGAAATCTGATTGTGGATCAGCATAGGAGCTCGCTGGTTTTAAAATGCTTGCATTTCCAGCTCTGCCTCGCGACACTTTCAGAAATTGCCGCGACCCAAATTTGGTTTGAGAATCGCTGGTGTATGATGTTTCCAGATGGCAGTGTACAGGACCTGGGCCTACAGTAGCCTGCAGCCTGAGGGAGCAAAGCCTTCTGGGCCGTGACATGCGTGCATCACCCCCCCCCCCTCCACATCCCCCACGACCTGAAGCCATGTTAATGATCAACAGGCTGGTAACGAGGTTTCCAACTGGGTGAATGGATGAAGAGCGATGACTTATAGGGACAGGGCTTGACTGGGCATTCTTCTCCTCGCAGGTTTTTTGGGACACTAATCTTTTTTTTTTTTACTGTCATTGTTCTCAGATTCGAAAAAGCAAAACAGGTTTCATACAATGTAACTTCATTAATGGATTCCATCTTTTTTTCCAAAGCTTAAGGAAAAGAACTTGTGATCTCCTGGGAACCAGAAACTATTCCTGAACCGTTTGAGACCTTAAATGTCACCAGGCTACCTGTAACCGCCTAAAGATCATTAAATCACACAATTCAGCGTCAAGTCGGGGCTTGTTTGGAATGATTTGAGGGAAATGGAAAATCCTCTTTAAACTGATGGGTCTTTTTTTCCCTCCATTGTCACCCAGTAATGGGATTCTTTGCAGTTGTTTCTGCGCCTCTGCGTTTCTGTGCTCGCTGTGCCTGTGGGATTCGCAGTGTAAGCCGAGCGCCGTGGAAGACTGCCACCCCATTGTTACGCCCGGGAAACACCCCTTCTCTGCCCAAACAAACTCACGCCTGGCCTATCAAAATGTTTTCTCTCTCTACGGTCAAAAAAAATTAAAATCCACCTGCTTACATGTGGGGTAGGAGTTTGTGAATCGAGAAGAAAAATCCATCCGTTTTCCAGTCCCTTATCCTGGTCGGGGTCGCAGGAGGACTGGGGAAAACCCTGGACGGACTAAGAAGCAATTTTATGTTTTTTTTTTTTAAAGTTTTATTTTGGTTAAGCCAGGTGTGACCTTTGAACTCAAAGCGGGGTTCTTCTTGGTCTTCCATTTATGGCTCTTCTCACCATTCCATTCCTTCACCCCCGTGGCCTGAAATGGTCACAAGCCCAAAGGCTGAGATTTTGTCTTCTCCAGATTCGTTACACTGGCTGTGCTCCTTTTGCCGTTTGGCACCGTGGTTCTTCCAGTCAGACACCCACTGCCAGTGACCAGACCATACCACACACTGAGTCTGTATTTACAGCTCTCGGCAATGGTGAGGAATATCATATACTCCCATACACTTAATGCGAACAATGGTGTTAAAGATCATATGACCCCACACACCCCAATCTACAAGGTTCTAAATGAGCATGAGTGTGAAATTCATACCCAGGACTTTGCCTTTGTCAGTATGCCCAGTATGCCCAGTACACTGGCTGGACATTGCCATATTAAATCAAAGTTTTATAGGAGAGCGGGTTGTCCCAGATATGAGGTAATACGTTTGGGCAGGTTTTCTTTGGTACACAAGGCTGCCTGGTGCCACATCAGTCAGCCGGTGCCAGAGTTTAACAGCAGAGCAAGAAACAACGGGGTTCATTGCCAGACTAGACCCGAATTGGAAGTGATGCTAGCATGCTAGGCTACGGCCTTATAGGAGAAGAGACAGCACAGAGAATGCCACAGACAGCACAGAGAATGTCACAGAGAGCGCAGAGGGAGAGCATAGCCTGTAGATAACAGTATATCTACCACATAGCGTTCATCCTCTTATAAGAGGAGATGGCTGTTTCCTGGGATGTCAGAGGCTCTGACATAGCTGTCAGATGCAAGGGTGGAGCTCATTTTGTTTATGCGTCTGGATTATACTGGTGTTCCAGAATCATTGTTAATCCTCCTTATAATTATTAGGATTTGTCCTCATTCATTTGGTGTTGTTGTTTTTGCAGCAGAAGCAGCACCACTTTACTGCAGCCATACTCACGTGCTCGCCTGAAGGTTATTGGTTTGAATCCTAGGAAGAAATCGCTGCTGTGGTACACTTGAGCAAAGCAACCTCTGTTGCATAAGTGAAATATTCGGCTGTGTCCAAGTGGCCTTTCGGCCAGCTTTGGCTAAATTAATACACGTCATGCTTCTTAGTACTTCAGCCTCAGCCAATTTTTTTTTGCTTCCTTAAACCCACGGGAGGTGTGGTTATAATCTTCAGGATCAGATGTACATGGCACCTTATGAACTCCGGTAGCCTGCAATCCCCCCCCGTTGCCATGGACACCACAGTACAAGGTTTCGTTTAAATAAAAATGTGGTATTCTGCTTTATCAGCCCGTTCTCTCTGAGGTGCCCTCCTGGCGGTAAAGGGGAATTTGTCGAAACGTCTGCCTTTCAATTATGGTCGGTTACACAGTTTGCTAGAGTCAATAAAACGCAGCGGAGCGCTCGATGGGAGTCGCGATTGCAGGTGAGACGACGACGAGCGGGAAAACTCGGCCTGCTTGCTTATCTGATCTGCACACCTCCGCGGTCACCCGGTGACACGCTGTTGCCAGAAGGACTGGCCGCAGCAGAATCAGGAGATGTTCGCGGAAGAGAAGCTGAGGGAGTGCTGTAGCTTTCTGCTGGGAGTGGTTCCATTCCCTCGCCATGGCGACGGTGTTCGGCGAAGGACTGAGAGTCAAGGCCACTCGCTGCAGACGGGGAGCCCCCACGCTATGATTATCATGGGCTTTTTTCCGTGTAGTCGGCACTGAGTGCACGTGGTCACGTCTCCTTCACTATTTGTGGCCGCGTTGTGGTGAATCATAGTGCCTTTAGAAGGATAGCCTAAATGGTGTGTTTCTTTAATAATTCAGATCACGGTTTTCATTTTCGGCTTCGGCTTTCCGGACTGCTGCTGAAAATATTGAGGTCTTTGCTTTTCACACTGAAGCGCCGTGATGATAAGGTGCCGCGACCATAACTTCATCGTGCCATTCAGGAGCTGTTTATAGTGCGGGGCTGTTTGCGCTGCTCCATTAAGAGCAGCGTGTGTCGAGTCGGTAATTACCTTAACGGCGTGTAATTACCCTAAAAATGTGCTAGGGCTTGTGTCATTTATATGCTTAGCTCAGACTGTTTTCCTGCCTCCACCTTGTCACACAGCCTCGCTGCCCTATCTGGTTTTGACCATCATCTCCAGTCCCTACAAGCGGAGAGTGCACTGTGATGACGAGAGTATAAAGTATCCTTCCCTGCCGGACACCATTACGCACGTCCTCATGGCCACCGTCACCATCTCCTGCACTATCATCATTGTGAGTCGCTGTAGCCCCGCCCCTGCAGACACATGGAACACACATTCACACATACCCCACTTATCATCTTCCTTTTTTGCAACCCGCCAGTCAGGAAAATCAATTAGTCAATCAGATTCTATGTTCTACACTATTTACTTTTATATCGGCTATGGTGAGTCAGTTTGAGCACCATTCAGCAATTCAGCTGTGTTTACTTAGATTCTTGGGAGGGGCAATTCAGTTTTTTTAAGGTGGGGGGGGGGGCACAAGAGGTGCTGTAATTCATACAGAGGGGCCAACCAAGAGTGATAGGAGAGGGGACACTCTGGAACCAATCAGCTTGCAGCTAGTCTCCTGTGGCCCCGCCCATCTACAGTTGTTTTTATATATGCAAAGTTAATCACTGTAATATTTCACATTAATACGTGTAATTACCCTAAAAATGGGTTTAAAGTTTTTTTTTCTCCCTTTTTTCTTCAGATTACATCTGGTGAGGCTTATCTGGTCTACACCAAGAGACTGCATTCCAACTCCGGCTTCAACCAGTACATGTCGGCCCTCTACAAGGTGGTGGGCACGTTTATGTTTGGGGCAGCAGTCAGCCAGTCTCTCACTGACCTGGCCAAGTACACGATTGGCCGGCCGAGGCCCAACTTCCTGGCTGTGTGCAAGCCTGAGGTCTGCGAGGGTTACCTCCTGGATTCCAACTGCACCGGGGATCCCCGCGATGTCACCGAGTCCCGGTACAGAGCTGCAGTTACCATCCGCCTCTTTGTTTACCAACCTGCCAGTCAGTATATCAACTAGTCAATCAGATTTTATGTTCTACGCAGTAGATTTTCTTCAGAGGCCCTGTAAGAACCAGCTGGAACTGGGTAGGGATTAAAATGTTTTCCCCAGCTTCATCTCTAGCACTGGTTAAGTTTTGTTTATATAATAGTCGTTGGAAAAAGAAAATGCTGGCAGAACTGCCCGTTTTGTCCTGTAAATCAGAACCAGACAGCTGAGACTCAGGCTGCAATGCTGAGCTCTTCTCTGGCTTTGTTCTTGGTTTCAACCCCCCCCCCCCCCCCCAAAATACCTCCAGCAATCAGCTGTAGTCCAGTATCTTCTGGCCCGTAATCAGATACAACCTCAGGCAGCGTCCATTAATGAAAGATGCAGCAGCACTGAGGCTCCTGGGAGTGGAAGCTGAAGCTCTCTGTCTTTTGTTCAGCGTGTGATTCATTGTGGGGGGGGGTGGCGGGTGGGAAGGGGCTAATGGCAGATCTGCGCGTGTGTTTGATCATGCTAATGCTCACGCCGCTGCTCTTCCTGGGGTCCAGGTTGTCCTTCTACTCCGGACACTCCTCCTTCGGGATGTACTGCATGCTGTTTTTGGCGGTAAGTGCCCCCCCCCCCCCTTGGTGTTTGTGTTTCTGTAATGAGTGTGTTACAGATGAGGCGGGGGCTTGGGTTATCATCAGGTTCTCTGATGTTCCGGGCACATGGGCTGAGGCTGTTGAGAGTCACAACCTCACGCTGCGTTTACAGGGCGGCCGCAGCGACGGCCCACCTTCCCGCTGATGTAAAGCTGGAAAACATTGAAAGGGCCGATTCCCTCATTGTGGGGGTGCCCCCCCCCCCCCCCGCGGGGGAGCACGCGCCTGTATCTGAGGGAACAGCCAGGGCAGCAGAATGTATTGGAAGAGCCAGTTCTGCCACGCCAAACAAAACATGTGGTAATTTGAGATAGAATGTATCAGGGCTCGCTGATATCCTGTTATGTTTCAGTTCACGATACAAAAGCTGCATTTATAGCAAAGTGTGTGTGTGTGTGTGATTATGTTTACAAAGTTCCCCACAAATGTAATAAAAACCTGTTATTTTGACATTGTGGGGACCATTTTTCAGGTCTCCACAAAAATCTGCGAATGCAATCAAAAAACTAAAAATGCCAAAAAGTCTCATATTTTGTTTGGTTAACTTATGGTTAAGGTTATGGCTGAGGTAGGGGTTAAGGTCGTCATGTTTTCCCCATAGAAATGAATAGACAGTCCCCACAAAGATATAATTACAAACCTGTGGGGTGTGTGTGTCGCCACAACGTAAGAAATACCCGTTTTTAATTATTTTTTTTAAGCTTACGGGGACCAGTTTCCTAATCAACATAAGGGAAAACTCAGTTTTCTAAACATCCATAATTGCAATGACAACAGCTCTTAGACTTTGGTTACTTATGGCTATGCTTAGGGCTGAGTGGGGGTTAATCCATGCACCCTTTCTCCATCTTCTCTGCAGCTGTACGTCCAGGCGAGGATGGTGACCAAGTGGGCCCGGCTCCTCCGGCCCACCGTTCAGTTCTTCCTTGTGGGATTTGCCCTCTACGTGGGTTACACCCGTGTGTCCGACTACAAGCACCACTGGAGTGACGTTCTGGTGGGGCTCCTGCAGGGGGCGCTAATTGCCATCGTCAATGTAAGTGATGATCAGCTTTTCGTTTTCTTCTGTGAATACTATATGACGCCATGTGACTTTTTTTGTACGCGATCCCATCCCGCCGTTTCCGTCTCCCCGGGGAATAGGTGCGCTACGTGTCGGACTTCTTCAAGCAGCGAGTGCCCAGCTGTGTGCAGACGGAGGAGCCAGAGAGGGAGGCGCTGGAGGGCAAGCCCAGCGTGCAGATTGGGGAGGGGGAACACGGCAACCACTACACCTATCCCCGAGTGGTGTGAGCACCAGCGTGCCCGTTTCCCATTTGTGGACAACCTGTTCCCCCAAAGCTTTCACACCAACCACAGTGCTGCAGACTGTCCCACAGCCCCCCATTTCAACCAATCACTGCCTCCGACGCTGACCCCGCCCCCCCCAAACCTTCCAACCAATGGCTGATCTAGCCTGCTCAGACTGAAAATCGTTATCCCTGCAGGTCTATAACACAAGAGGTCGTGTCTGATTTACATATTTGTGCCTTTTTATAATTCTGTTTTTTTATCGGTTGGCTGGAGTACTATGGATGCTGCACGATGAAAGTCACACAAAGTGAGTTATGAGTGAGTTTGTGGGTTGAGGTTGGCTGTGATGGTAAAGTCATGTGATCTCAGTGCTGGGAAGCCAACATGAGCTCTTGAAGACCACCATAGTGTATCAAAAAGGACCAAAGTCACTTAGATGGTTTTGTATTTACTAATATTGAAAAATGCTTTTGTGGCTGAAGGGGACTGATCTACAGCCTGTTTCCTTCGTACGTTTTTATTCCATTGGTAGATCTCAGCTGATATGATGTCCAGGGCGTAAACAGGACCACTACTATTGCTTAGTCAGCCCAGTAAGAAAAGTCCAGGTTGACTTCTGTTCATTTAGTAATGCTACCTATATTAAAGTCTCATTTGTCACATACACAAAAGCATTTCACTCCACATATGTACAATGCATGTGTATGTGACAAATAAAACTTAAAACTTTAAATTATTTACAAATATTTTTCATTGTCCAGAGTGGTTCTAAGGCTTATATCTCCTACTGAATCTCAATTTATTAAAAAACCATATTTTAAATAACTTGATTTTTTGCTTTCCACATACAGCTTGGAGCTGTAAGTGTGTAGCAGGGTATTTTAAGAGGCTGGTTTTTATCTGGCTATGCAATTTTTTTAATTTTTTTAACCAATGATAAACCAGCTCCTGTGCTACAGGTTCCAATCACAAGCAGTATGAGAATCAATATTTGTGATACCCACCCCCAAGTCTGACCTGTTCTCTCCAGTCATGTGACAATCGAAAGGGATTCTGCCGTTGCCGTGGTGCAATAGTTGCACGATTAGCTACTTTGAGATTGTGAAGCAGTGCGCAAATGCACTCCAGAATAACAGCAGTGTATGTATACAGTATGTACGTTTGCTTGTGTTTCTGCATGTACGCAGTCCTCTGAGATGTCATCCGTATGTTTGATGGCGCCTTCATTCAAGTGTTTATATAGTGTTAGTGTTAGTAAGGTGTCACTGGTGAAGAGGGTCAGCTTGGACTAAAGCTTCAGTGCTGTTCATGCTGGAATTCGAAGGTCAGGTTTCTGCGGTGGCCTCAGTGTTCGTCTGTACAGTGTGTCATCAAAGTCTGCGGAGAGTGATGTCCCATCAGAATTCGTAGGATATTGTTGGCACTGTACAAAGGTCTGATGTACATAAAAACTCCCTATGTGGACTGTATGTTTGGTAGTTGGGTTGTGATGGGTAATCAAGTTCAGATCTAGCTCAGTCTGCATTATTAGTGCATGCAGGAATCATTCCATTCTACGCTGATGTACTGTCTTTTCCTCTTGACTTATTCCTAAGGATGAAGAAAATCGGTTCATTTCAGACACGAAGAAAAGGTTTAAAAATCAATACTAAGGCTCTATATAAACAAGCTCACTTTTATCCTGTTAGCTTTCATAGCACAGGAGTTTTTATCATAAAATAGTGCTGGTTTAATTACCTTATTGAAGGAACCTTTGGTATATATGCATTTTCAGTATCACGTGGCTATTTTTGCTATAAACAAGCCTAATCCTCATCCCACTCATATTGTATATTGATACATTTTTTTTGTAGTTGTCAATGTCAGATCCTGTTAAATATATGTAACAGAGACACCACGCTGCCACTCTGTATTTCATTTCCAGTTTCATTGCCAGTTTCATGCCAGTCATCCAGTGATCCTCATTTGAGTTGTAATGGGACCCATCAAGAATTCCTCTAAACTGACTGTGGCCAAAGAACGCATCAGTATTTTTTGAACGCTGAGACGTCGTGATTGCTCACAATCGCAGTTGCTGTGACGCTCATCCAAAACTGCTGAAAATGCACTAAAAAGGACTTTTGTCAGAGAGAGGGAGAGAGAGAGACTTCTGTTGTCGCTGAGAATGTGGACTGGAAGACATCAAAGCGGACATCTCGCCAATGGCTAATGGGGGTCCTGAGCTGACAGACAAGTTCTGGAACGAGCTGTTGACGTGCATGTGCCCAGTTATCAAACTCATCAATCCAGATTCCTGTGTTCTTAGGAATCCCGGAGTCAGACGGGTGAAGGTTTGTTGGCAGTAAGCGCCAGAAAGATTCACAAACAGCCCGTGTCTGTGATGTATGTTCTGTGCTCTGGTTACTTTCTCTGCCCTGTATTTTTGTGTCTCTGTAACAGTAGAGAGCTGATAAATCCAGCACCTCAACCATGGGAATCGGCCTCATTCATATTAACTGCGCGTTGGTGCTTAACACGAGCTGGAAAAGCCTTCGATTGTTACCGGAACATTCCTCTTGACAAAACACAGGGCTTCCTGGATCTCTTCCTGGCTCAGTTCCAGTTAGGCTGTGGGCCAGGTTCATGTACAGGGACAAGAACATTCTTCCTGTCACAAACCAAAACCTGTGGGTCAGAGATTACTATCAAAGTTAACAGACGTGTAGGTTCCTGCATGTCTGTATAGCCCAATTGGAGCTTGTACTTGTTTTAAAACATAAAATTACATAAAATGCCAGAACATTCAGCCACTTCTACTTTGTAAATTGGGTAATAAAAAGAAATATGGACAAACAGCCCCTCTCAGTTTGACTTTGATTTCGATGGGTGTCAGTCTTACTTGTAGGTTCATTACAGTCGATACTCTTCTCTCTTGATTTGAACCTTATCACCCCCAGTCCCTTCCATTAGCTGAATTACCCTTTGATCTCATTATGGTCCTTCTCCTGTGCAGCTGTGGCAGACTTCAAACGTCTGGATGGGGGGGGTAGAGGGGTATTTTTAGCTATGTAAACATCCGATGTGTTGGGAAAGGCTTTCCAATCCCTCGTGGGCAAAGCTGGTAAGGTGGCCGGAGGTGCTTGGTCAGGCATATGTCCTCCAGCTGTCTGACTTTCGGCGGCGAGGCGGCTCTCCTCCTCCTGCAGTGGGGGGGGGGGGGGCACTTTCATTCTGATGGCTGATCCAGATACAACTTTCAGGAGCTGGATGACAGGAAGACACCCGCAGTTCTCTTCCGTCTTGGCATGCCCGTGGTCCCACAGATTGTCTCTCTGGGACACAGCAGTGACCTAGGCCTACTCACTTTGGGCAGTGCGCTTCCACTCTGCATAGAAGCACACGTGCCTGGACCCGACTGCTTGGAGTCCATACGGCTTCATTTGGCAAGGTGACCAAACTTTCTAGGTCTCAGCAGTGATCCGCATCATCACCACGCCCCTGAGAGGCCTCAGGATCCATTTTAAGCGAGGCGTGCGCTCTGTTTGTTTTCAGCTACATGGTGGGTGTAGGTTCAAAGACCGCCACCTCTCCCTGGAGAAGGGTTTTGGGTGTCGTGGGACTTTAAATGAGATGCTCTGACGTCCCAACCCTGCAGAGCGGGTCAGCGGCTTAGATTAGAGACTCCGACAACAGTAGCCGACTGCCCAAACATCCGCCTGGGGCGTGTTCAAGAACCACCCCAAGACCGCTAAGGTGTCGGGTCATAGTCTCCGTCCATCTATATTCTGGAGTTATGTTCAGTACAACACTGAACAAAGGTAATACTCAACAAATCCAGCAGTGGGGTCTGATTTTTTTTTGAGGTGGGTCATACCCCAAGGTACTTGTAGACAACTTTCCACAAAGATGTCTGTAGTTTGTCATTTTGAAACTCGGAGCTGGAGAATGGCTCCCTGGGTGTAAGAGAATATTTGTTTTCCTTCTGAACCGGAAAACAAGTGAAGTCGAAGCTATGAAGACCTGAGATGTCTGCTCACTGTTGGGCTTATTTGACACCATCCATAGACCGAATTGTTACAGTAACCTACATTTTCAGGTGTGTTCTATTGTAATTGATGCTTCTGAAAATTGAATCATGCAAATATGTGCTTGTTAAAAATAACCGTGAACCGCCCACACCAGGGTGGAATCTTTTTTTATTGTCTGACTGGAAGTACACTCCCTGGGCATGTGGGAGAAACCTGTGCACTGTAATTCACACCCTACTGTCACTGCTGCGCAGCCTGTCCTTAGAAGAACCTCGAGACAAGAGCCTCTGGTATCTCGCTGACCTGTGATGATGTGGGTCTGCTTCCCAGTGGGGCCCTGGCCGACCGATGAGGGAGGGACCCACATAGATACTGCAGTATTACAACCTTTATTTTAAAACATTAGAAATTTCCCCTCATTGTTTCCAGCACGTTACAGGAAGGCGGGATCCAAAAAGAAATCCGTAGGGTGTGAATGACATCATTTTTGGACGCGCCAAAACGATTCAACTCGGTTCAGTTATTATTACTTAATACGGTTGTCGATGTTCTCATCCATTTGTTTTAGTGCTGTGATACACTGCCCCTTGGTGGCGCAAATCATCCAACCATAAACAATAATCTCTCGAGTATCAATTATGAATACTGCGGTTTTAATGAAAAGAATAGATACTCAGGTAAGAAATCACATCATTTTCAGTTTCCGATGGTATTCGTGCGGACTTCCTGCCTTTACGCGCTACTTACATTGCACAGCTATTCTTATTTCATATTTCCAAGTTAGGACTTGGACTAGGATTATTACACATCGACACAAAACAGCGAAGGTTCTACCGAGATTTGAACTCGGATCGCTGGATTCAAAGTCCAGAGTGCTAACCATTACACCATAGAACCTAACCTTACGCGCCTTGTCTGATTTCACACAGAAAACTCTACACTCATTTGTCAATTTATAGGTGTTTTCATGTGCGTGCATGATATTGCGATTCTTGTCATATTCATGTTCATAAACAACTACGAACAATGCTGACAAGCGAATAAATGCAAATTGAAAATCTTTCTACTTTGTTTCCCATAATTACCGCTAGGTGGCGATCGAAGCTCATCGTGAAATAAAGCGCTATGTAGGTCAATAATTACTGTATGTTTGATATAGCATCTTCGTAGCTGAACTAGGCACAAATTTCGGGGAAACAAGTGTGGTATGCACGACACGTTATTTGTAGATCTTAAGGCAACAATTGTTGTTGTTGTTGTTGAAACAGTGATCGGGGGAGTGGGGTCCGGTCAGCAGATGTCTGCTCAGGTCGCGTTGCAGAGCACTGAGCATCTGTAAGTGAACTGTGATGACATCATCACTTTCAAGAGCCCGAGGCTGTGTGTGATTGGTGGCCAGCACTGGGATAGTAACATAAGCACAGCCACTACATGGTCTTCTTTGTGACGTTTTGTAAATGATCCTGACTTGGGGTTTGTTGACCTGCAAAAAGTGTGTAGTTAATTGTTCCTGTCGCTTATTCCAAACAGGTATCCCCCCCCCCCCCCACAGGGTGCTGCTAGAAATTTTGGGCCCCATGTGAACCATATCATATGGGACCCCTAACCCTGAACAATCCATTTATCTCTGGAGGGTTTAGGTGAGGCTTACATGGATGGTATCTTGCCACAGGGTGACCGCCCATACAAATGTAAACGATGACATATGTGTGATCGGTTTAGTATCGCTGATTTTCACGTCACGTCAATGATATCATGTCACTGTGTGGGTCAGTTAACCTTGTTGGAGTGGGCACCCTGATTCTAGTTTGTGAGGTAGGCAGGCTACTACTCAGAAGTACGAGATGGGGGGGGGCTGGGCTAACCTCAGGTCCCCCCACTGGAAGCCTGAGGTTGGGGAAGCAGGGGAATCACTTCTGACTTTGTTCAGAGCTGCTGCAATTAGTCAAATCATTCACACTATCAAATGAGCCAAAACATTGTGAATATATAGTTTCACAGTAATAATATTGTTTCTTTTCTGGTTTGTGCGAAATCGTTAATAATAATAATATAAAGCCAGTCTGCACAGCGCCAAGGTGAGTTTATTCAGTTTTGAGTCCTGGTTGCCAGTGTTGGGGGATGGGGGATGTGGGGACGCTCGAGTGCCAGATTAACACAAATGGATAAGAAAAGGTCTGAGCCATCAGGTGCCCGTCTTAGAAAAAAAGAGGAAAGAAGAAAAGGTGAAACGTGCAACAGATAAAGGTTTGCAGCTCTTTCATCCCTGTATGAGTTTAATATTATGCGTGTAATGAAATAGGCCAGTATAACACCAGTATGTTTGTTAACCAATTGGCTAATAGTGTAATAATTTGATTCTATTTTTTCATCCATATATTACAATTTTTATTTGTCTTTTTTTTTTTTTTTTACTCCTTTTTGATATTTAAGAATCTTATTTTGTATATATCTTTATAATTTTCATTTTATCATTGCTAATTTGTGTAGTTCCAAATCTCTTAATAAAAATGACAGTGCTGAATGGTGTTCTTTTGTCGGCGGCGGGGGGGGGCGGTGGTGGACACGCATTTTTTGCATTTTTCACCCAATGCACTATACAAGCTAGAACCACCAATGCCAATTATGCTCCAGATTTTTCGGCTCTTGTAATTGTCCTAACCCCCACCCTAGAGTACCCCCATCGTGTGGACAGCTGATTTCAGAATTTTGTTGGGTAATTTGTAATCTGTACTGTAGTCATTATTCCGGTTCCACGTTCCCGAGAACATCAGCAGGTCCCCCAAGACCAGAAACAGTCTCATCTCCGTCAGAATCTGCTCCCTCAGACGCTACGCAACCCCCCCATGCTGCAGTTCCTCCAGCACTTGTTTTATTTTCGTGACTGTTTTTCTGGGCTAGTACCCTTTCCCTGTCAGCTAAAACATCCCCGCTGCCCCCTGGCAAGGCTGGCACTGTTCGGGGGTCTTTTATCTGCATGGGGGGTGGGGGGGCACTTGTTTAGTCCCTAACTGCTTTCACAGTGCGGGGGGGTTATCATACGCTTCGACACGTCATGGAGGGCAAACAGCAGCCTGCCTATGTAATTATTCAAATAGAATATAATGACCATGACTGCTGCATGCTCTACAGTACTCTAGTGCTGGCGATGATTACTCAGTTCCAGTTGTCCAGCTACATTATACTCCCATTTTTCCGCTTTTATTTTTTTCTCCACCTTTCTACAATGCTCATTCTAACAGCAGTCATTAGCCTCCTTGCTGGTGGTAATGGTGCTAGGAGTGGGAAGGAAAATTAGTTTAGCCCTCAATCACATTTTTTTTTTTTTAATTCATACTCCTAAGTTTTCTTTCATTCTTTTGCCTGGCAAACTGCGATTGCGCGTGTTTTGATTATGAGAGATGAGAGGCGCCGCGGGGAAGCCACCGTGATTATAAGGAGAGCTGACTGTGCGCCTGCGTGTGCGTGTATGTGCACGTGCGGCTGCGAGTGTCTTTCTGCCTGCCTGTTTGCACTTGCGCGTGTGGGCGCTGCGGTGGGGCCGAGTGAGTGCGCATCTGGGGATGTGTGCATGCAAGTATGAGACGTGTGAATGCATGCACGCGCGCGTATGAGTGCGTAGACGCCTGTGTTCGTGTGTGTGTGTGTGTGTGTGTGTGTGTGTGTGTGGTCATTGTAAATATTACATTGTGTGGCCCAAGTATCCTTACAATGTGATAAGAATTCTGTCATTTTTACCTTGTGGGATATTTTTTTCGGTCCCCCAAAGGAGAAATTCAATTTTCTAAGAATATGTGAACGCAATCAAAAAACTAAAAATGACTTTGTATTTGGTTACTTACGGTTAATTTTAGGTCTTAGTAGAGATTAAGGCTGTACAAGTGGGGTAAGGGTTTTTCCCATAGAAATTAATGAAGAATCCCTAGACGGATACGGATACCGTGTGTGTGTGTGTGTGGGTGGATCGCAAACCTCCAGACATAGAGCCTGGGGACATTCATGAGGAATTATTTGTTTGTTTCTGTTAAAATAAATATTCACTTGCTCGGAAATAAAACCGCGCGCGAGCCTGACTTCTAAAAGGAGCGTGCGTGGATCCAAATATCAAAATTCAGCCGGTTAGAAAATGCTTTCGTGTTTGTAGCCTGCAGACGATTATGATTTTTTTTCTTTCTTTTAATACACCAAATTAGTCTAGCAAATTATATTCAAATGCTTTTTAAGGACGCTTGACATCTGCAGTATTCTCGATCTGCACAGGATATTCTCCATTCTCCTCTTGGACATTGTTTCCACTGCGACAGTAACGTAGACAGAGGTGGAGACGATGGGGGAGGGGGGTCAGGCTAAATCTATAGTCAAAAATCTGGTTTTAAAATCTTCACAAATCTCTCATTGCAGTCTAAGATACGTGACATCACACAACAGAAAGCGACATCGTGTGTTAAGATGAATCCGAAATTCAATTAATAATCGCTTCATTATATGTGTAGGGTGTACTTGTTTCTGAATATAGCGAATAAATATTATTTACCGTAAACAAGACTAAAGTAGCGTTCCAACAATTAAGCAAAAAAGCCCTAACCACTTCAAATGGGAAAGCAATGTGGAAATCCTGTCTGGCCATGTAATCCTTGTTTTTTAATGAGAAAAAGATAAATGAAAGCCTAGTCCTCTTGTATTCTCTCACACACTTTTCTGCGCAATGATTTTCTTTTTCCCCGTGCCCCCTTTTTTTTATCAGGGTCTGTCTGCTCCTATTCCAGCCTGCATCCTTCCCTGCTCTATCCCCCCCCCCCCACACACACACACACACACACACCAACGCGCTCCCAGGCACCTCCGCCTCGTTTTCCCTCGGCGGTGAATTAAAACCTCTTTGCAGCCCCCCCCCCCTCCCCGCGGCAGGCTGAGATTTCCACTGTCACAGAATAGTTTTTCCAGTATCGCCCTCTCTAATTATGAATTCCGTCAAAGGTGTTGTGTCGCCAGAATGCTAATCGGTATCTGTGAGGGTTTCGTATGATTTTTCTCAGAAATTAGTTTGCCAAATAATCAATTATTTGCCTGGATCATCTAATTTACCCCAATCTCGCTATCGCAGGGATACATTTTCTCTGTAAAATAGTCCAGATATGATTTCGTGACTGCAAATATTAATCAATCGCTAATAGGAATTTTATTGCGTCAATATATCAGGCTAAATTAAATACATAAATATAGCCTTAAGATTTCGAAAAATATTTTTAATTTAAGAGCTGGCTCTGTTTATGGCAGCTGGTATTCACCGTGTTCGCGCTTGAAACCTAGTTTTTGGAAATGTTGTCAGCCAGGCTTTTGCACCGAGCCGGGATGTTTGAGGACCGTTCCCCCCTTGGGGTGTCCTTGTACCCTCCCCTCTCCAAAGTAGACAGCGGAGGAGGACGAATAAGAGACGAAGAGGAAGAAATAAACGAAAACAAATATTTCTGAATGAGAATCAACACATGACAGCGTTTCTTCAGGCATCTCTCATTAACAGCACCCCCCACGGCCCAACTGAAGATTGTAAGGTAAAAAGGGTGCGGGGGGCGGGGGTCTAGTGAGCAATTAAGAGGCCTAAAGAGGTGTCTGTCAGCAAATCAGAAGAAATGTCCAGGGCCACTGAACTCAAGTACTCCCAGAATTTTCAGTTCAGTCTCAGCCGGGGACCCCATTGTTGGGATTTCTAATTTACTGTGCTGTTTCTGGCCGGATACCGAGAGCTACAATTTCGAACGGTTGCCTACGCTTCTGTTATATTCATCGCACAGGTTACTGAGACAAATACACACAAATAATAATAAACCAGCAGAGAAATTTGTCTTATTCTTTGAAGGATGCTTAACTAAATCAGTTATGATGAAAACAATAGCTGGTTGTTTCTGGATTTAAATCCTGTGAATTAGACTGATGGCTAATTTGAAATACCTAATCATCGTTACTCATCTCTCCATTTTTAAAACTACCGAGTACGCGGGCATAATAATAATCCGCGTTGTTGTCAAAAAAAGAGCGTGAAGCCCCATCTTCAGCGCCCCTGATAATCATGCCTCCAAAGGGTTAAATTTCCTTTCAGCCTTTCCTCTTGATTGACGTTTCTAGCAGTCCATACCCCACATCATCCAATGAGCGATCAGAGGCGACGCCCCACGTGGGAACTGCCAAGATCAGTGCGCTTATTGGCTATAGCAGCCCGCACTTATTACCGTCCAGTCTAACCCCACGTGGATATTTCATTCATTGATCAATTCCATTCCATTCCTCCTCTCCCATCAGTATATCGGCAAAGTTGCTGGCACATAAAATGGAAAATGCTTTAGAGGCAGCAGTCTAAAAAGACAACGACAAACAGTGTGCACGATAAACATTTCACTATTGGGAAGTAAGATACCGGGAAAAGTAATCTATACTTTTCTGTAAATTGTCTTTAAAAAATTAAAGATTGATGCTCATGTTTTTATTATTTAAGACACCGCCCTGCCCGAGAAGCAGATATACTTGAAATAATTTGTGATTATATCGATCCAAGCAGGTTTTGATTCGTTTATCAAACACATAGGTTGTAAAAACGGCCGATAAGCAGCGTATTTTTGCATATTAGGAAAAAAATCTTAGTTGCGGGGTTTGAAGGTACAAAACAATTTTATCGGATATTCACGATCCAATCTCTGTTTTAGGACAACGAGCTACAGGACGGAAGAAGCCCACGCAGCCCTGAAGCCTGATTAGTCGCAAGCTGGCTGCTTCAGGATCAGTTCACTACTGCGGTGTCTCCTAAAGGAAAAAAAATGCCCAGTTGAATATCGCAAGACATTGACTTTGAAGGGAAAGGAACTAATTGCTTCATACGAAAAATCGCGAAAGGATCTAGACAAAGGGGCAGTGGCCGCGACTGCGTTGAATGTCTTCAGGGGAGCACTTTTTCTTGTTTGGCGGAGTTGGTACCGAGTGAAAGGTGGAAAACAACTGAGGGCTTCGAAGGAAAACAGGACGCAGATTGCCGCGCGACGCTGCACCTAGCGAAGGCATTGCGGCGTCCGGGGTTTAGCGCACAAACGGGTGGATCTCTGGGCTATATGCATTTGGGTTTTTTCCCCCTTTTGTGTCGGAGATTAAAAAAAGCAGAACAAAGAGGGACTTGGGGATGCGAGAGCGACAGCGAGCTTCTCAGCGCAACGTTTGAAGGAAGGCCCGATGCCTTTTATAAACCTGCATTAAACTGTTCAACAAACGCATTAAAGACTTGTTCGGATTAAAGAACCGAGAGAGAACAACAACAAAAAAAAACAACTTCTAAGAATCCAAAATGTTCCCCCAAAATCGACCTCCGGTAAGTATCTACCAAAGGTATTTAGACAATGCATGCTGCAATGTCTAAACTAATCGTCAGGATTGTAATTCATTGCTGCCTCATAGTGTTGAAATTCATTATTATTTAGACGTCGCCCGCTTTTAAAGTTGCATTTGAGACCACAACTTGAGCATGGGAAGCGAGGAAGGCGTGTGGGCTGTCGATGCGCCCACACAGCGGAGGTGTCCCTCCTTATGAGCCGGACTTTCTGCGTGCAAAATCGAAAGTGCACTGGGGTAGTTCCGACCATGTGAGTTACGTCCAGCCTGGGTCACTGTGTCTGTTTTCTTGATAATATGGTGCGCATAGGTTCCCGATTTCAGGAAGAGCCACCAGGTTGTTGTCTGCCTTAGGCTGACGTTATCCTTTAATGATTAATGTAATTTACTGGCGGCTAGATCAATTCAGCTCACTCTAGAAAATAAGTTGGGAAGGTGATACGTTGTAATGCCCAGGTGTGCGGAGTTTTGTAACCGTACCTGCGCTGCGTCAGTGGCGTAATGCTGATGTGCGGTACTGTCGGGGCCGCTGTGCAACTGATGTTTCAGGTCCTGGCTCATGACAGCATGATATTCCTCTTCATTTATTAGTCATACTACCAGAGCTCCATTCACCAGCATGTAGTGTCCCGATTACTGCTGACATCTGCTTTTACCAGGTTGATGTCTAGCTGCCACTATTGAAAGGGGTCTGGTGTGCACAGGACTGTCCTCACAAAGAGTGTACTGACCTCCCAAACTTAACTGATATGAGAAGACTATCGATTATGTAGTTCACCGTGACTTTTCGATAGTTTACTCTGGCATCAAGTATCGTCTTTGGCACCTTCAGTTATCAAAGCTTAAATCTTCCTCCTGTGCTGCCTGTTTGAAACATGTTGAATGCAGACCACAGATGAAGATTAGAGCAAAAGCAAAAGTCCCTCTGCCTACATCTATCGTCACAATTTCTGGTAGAATCTGTCTCTGATCTGCACTGTGGGCTCGCAGTGAAGTGGACTTTAATGCCGTAAAACTAAGATCTGTGTGCTTCAAGCTTTTATTCTGGGTGTTGCTTTTCTCCAACCTGACTACTGGCTTTAACCCTTCATGCAGTTGGGAGCTATTTAGGACGAGAGCCCTATGGCGGATCCCTTTGGTGACTTTAACTGGGATAGTTTAATAACTGGGATACTATGGCGTCCTTAACTTTTGTGATCTCCCCCCCCAACTGTTAGTCCCTGACTGTGTGCCTTGGGTGTCACATGTCATTCCGCGCATGATTGGATGTGGCTGTCCAGGTGTTTTCACCTGTGTTGGTGGTTCTGCTCTGTGCGACGTGGCTGGGGACTTGTGTTGCTGTTTGGCTGGGTTTTATTGTTTTGTTTTGTTTTTTTTTTGGGGGGGGGGGGTATGGATTTCTGAAACAGGTGATGCCTGTTTTTTTTCTGGATTGCAGCAGGCCGCCTGTGCTGTTGGAGTGAGGTTCTGATGCTCTTGCCGGGGTGCAGGAGGTCCACACAAACCCCCGGCCTCACAGGCCGTGTTCTGGGCCAGCAGCTGGCTTGTGGTGCCAGGGACCCAACCGCCCCCCCCCTCCCCCTCACAGGAGTGTGGTTTCCGCCCAGAGATGTTATGTGGTGTAGTTATGAGCCCCCACTTCCCCCTGGTTAGAAAGCTAGCAGAGAAGCAGACGGACTCGCTCTCAATTCCACTTCCCCCAGTTTGTTGGTTCAGCACAGCTGTCCTTAACCACATATGAGTGTGGGGGTGGAATCTGGAATGGTACATCCCTTGGGGGGTGTGTGTGGGGGGGGGGTGCTTGTTTAAGACCAGTTGATACTTATGGATTGTCAAATAGTCGCTTGACTTGTAATGTCTGATGTGTATATATTGAAGGTAACTTTATGGTTGTTAGAATAACGGCATGAACTCCCCACTCCAGGGATGGGGGTGTGCAGCCTGTGGATTTAGTGCTGGTTGGATTTCTTGGCCGTGTAGGTGGGCACTGCTGTCAGTCTGATGCTGAAACGATAATTACGGACATAAGACTGGAACCTTTTTGGGAGAGACGCGGCGGAAATGGCAGAGGGGAGTGTGTGTGTGTGTGTGTGTGTGTGTGTGTGTGTCATGCAGTAATGTGAGGCAAGAGGACCTGGACTGTGAGTCCTTTTGAGGTGGGTGCCATTATAGGCAAGATGGATGTTATGGTGGTGGTGGGGGGGGGGGTCGGGTGATTGATAGGAGCCCATTGTGCTGTGCCCTTGGGTAATAACATAAAAAAAAAAAAAAAATCCAGGAACGATTGCTTCAGGGGTGATGTGGGGGGTGGGGGTTGCGTGAGAGAACATGGCTCCCTGTGTCTATGGAATGAGAGGCTCCAGGCTTTGCACACACCACTACGGAACAAAGCCCACTGGCCGTTTCTGGAATTAAACCGCTGTTTCTCGCCACCCCCCCCCCCCACACAGGCCGACAGGTTACGGGCTGATCGGAACGCCCCCCGCCCCCCCGACAGACCTCCACCGCAGACACAGCAATAAGAGCTTAGGCTGGCCTATGTTTGTTCTTCTCTTTGACTGAGATGAGGTCTGGATGTCGTGTTTCTTTTTCGTCGTGTAGAGGATGCGAAATGCTGCCTTTTTAAAGTCCCCCCCCCCTTTAAATTTCGATTGTAAATGTACAGCATTTCCTGTTGTCCGGGCTGGGACTCCCAGTCTGTCCCTAGGTGCCAAAGCTAGTCGTCCCATTTCAAGAGAAGACAAAGTGCGACGGGTCAGATTATCCTCAGGGTTTTGTAGCCGTCTCTGACATCTATGTCCGTGCACCAGGGCGTTAATTGCCAAGTGTGAGTACAGTTCAATATCGAACAGACATATTCAGTGACCAGAACTGGCGTCAACCATGTGTCTGCGGATTTGAACCTGAATCTGGTGGAGATCCCTGCTACTGATGGGTCTCTGGAGACGGGGGGGGGCAGGACAAACTAGGCTCTTATGGATCTAAACCTTGTATGACTTGGCGTCGGATTGAATGGGAGACGGCTTTTGTGTTGGGTCCAGGGTGACCCCTTCCAAAGGTGAAGCAGCCGTTAAGAAAATCTCAAACTGAGTTTTATTTTATGGGCTTTCCGTGGGTGGGATGGGAATTACCTGCTACTGTCCCCTGATCTTGGGGTTATCCTGTGGTCTTCAGCTCTTTGGGGCCTTCTCTTTTCACAGAGGGTTGCATCCCACAGTCCTGTGAGTTTTGCTTCATATTGCTTCAATATCGATCTTTATTTTTCTTTACTGTGCCTAGTTTCTCGCTGCCATTACTGAATGATAACTTTTTAACTTTTTTTCTCCAGGCACCTCTTCAGCCACCCCATGGGTCCTCAGCTTCGGTGGCTGCAGCAGCCGCAGCCGCAGCCGCGGCGGCGGCGGCAGTGTCTGGGGCCCCCCCCTCCCTGAAGCTGACCTACCCCGAAACCCTGGACCGCATCAAGGAGGAGTTCCAGTTCCTCCAAACTCAGTACCACAGGTAGCAAACCTCTGCAGGTAGAGGTAGGACGGACGCCGGCTTTATTCAGCGTGCAAATCGCAGCCGGTGAAGACAAGTGAAGTTCAGTCATTATCGGCCACTTTCTCCTAAAGATCTCGTTAATCCAGCACCCCGGGATTCAGGCTGTCCACATCTGAGTGCTCTATGACTCCTGTTTTACACTTGGCCCCAGTTTCTTTCTCTCTTTTTCTCACACACACACACACACGCGCGCGCGCACACGCACACGCACACACACACACACACACACACACACACACACACACACAC